GTCTCTTTCGGAAACCATTCTTAATGACGCTATTAATGATGATCTTGGAATCATGTTAGCCTTTGATGGTTGGAAAAATGTTGCTTGTCAGAATTTATTAGGATCCTTTTTATTTACTTCAGAAAATAACATGATTATATGGAAAGTAGAGGATATTAGCGGAAAAAGATGTACAGGAGATATTATAATAGATGAAACAAAAAAATCTTTTGAAGAACTTGAAAAACAAAAGATTAAAATTAATGGATTAATTACAGATTCTGCTTCAGAAAATGCCGCTGCAAGGTAATTATAAATTAATATGATTTTAATTTTTAAAAGATTTATTTTAATTAACATTATCAATATTAGAAAACGATTGCGTCTTCAATATCGGGATAAGCTATTCTTACCGTGTTTTGCACATCAGATGAATTTGTGTATTGGCGATATATTTAAAGAATCATCAAGTTTAAATATTGCTGCTGAAGAAGCTATTAATTTGATTACCTTTTTTAATCGATCAAAAGTATGGCTTGGACGACTTCAAAATGAACAAGCAGCTGCCTATAAAACTCATATTGCATTAGTTACCCCAGCTACTACCCGATGGAACTCACATTATTACTGTTTCGCTAGTTTATTAAAAACAAAAGCAGCTTTATGTGTATGTATAACAATTAACAAATGCTATTGAATTGATTTTAATGTTGATTCTAATATATATTTTACATTTAAGAATCTCGCAACAAAAATAGATGAAAATATTATTCCTGACAACCAAGATTTTCTCAGAAAGCTCTTAACTTGCATTTTTGATAATAATTGGTGGAATTGTATTAAAAAAATCGAGACTCTTTTAGTTCCATATTGTGCGACGCTTAATAAACTTCAACGGCAAAATTCACGACTGCATGAAGTTCTTCATGGGTTTGGTAATGTAATTATGATACTTAAGGGATTTGATGACCAAGAACTAGCCAATAAACTTATTACAAAAATTGAGCGACGATGGAAGGATTGGGAGCAACCACTCTTGTTATTATCATTTTTGTTGCACCCATTTTATCGTGATACAAAATTTAATTCTGCTATTTTAAACTTATCATTTCCTCATTTGGCAAAATGGGTTTTGTATTATTATTGTGCATGGTTTCGAGAAGAGCCAACAATTTTATTATCTGAGCTTGAAGATTATCGATCAAAAAAATATCCCTATACTGAATCTATTTCTAAGCAATTTAAAAATAATATTTTGGGTTATTGGAACTTTACAAAAGGATATTCAAAGGAATTATATAGAGTTGCCCAACGAATATTTTCAATTACTGTATCTTTGGAACGATTGTTTTCAACAATGGGGTGGTATCATTCAAAACAAAGAAATAGATTAAAGGTATATATAATTTATAAAATTAATTATAAATAAACTAATTACAATTTTTTTTTTTTGATATTTTAGTCGGAGAAAGTGCTAGGTTTAGCACAGATTTGTGCACATATGCAAAAACAACAACAGATTCGGGAATTGGATTTTCATGCGAAACAGTACAAAACGATTATAGAAAATACTTCATATAATACAAATTTAGAGAGTAATGATGATATGTTTGTTTTTTCTGATGATGAAGATACAAATATTGATAATGAAACAAATGAAAGAGATATCTATACACGACCACTTACTTCTATTAATGAATGGAGTAATATGGTAACACATTGGGTAGAGATGATTGAAAATGAATTACAAGAAGATCAAGATAACGAATTAGCAAGTATTGTTGATACTTATGATATCTCAATTGATAATATTGAGCAATTACAACATCCCGCTGTTGATTTACAAGCAAAATGGGAGCTAAAAAATATTTTTGTAGAAAATTTAGAATTACCAAATTATTTAGAAGATTTTATTATTGGTGGTAATTAATGTAAATGTAATAAATTTTGAAAATAAATAAAATAAATAAATTGATGGTCATTAAATAAAATTGCTTATTTTTATTGGTTGATAACTATTGTTGGAATTGGACCAAGTCCAATTGTCCAACTGTTTAAGTGGTATAATTGGTACAAGTACAATAAGTCCAATATCCAATTGGTCCAATTGTCCAATAAGTCCAATTGCCAACACTGATTCTGTGGCGTCCAATATCTTAATAGCTGGATTGTCTAAAGCGATTCCTTGCCATTATTCCACATTGCTATCTAAGTTCTCGTTAATTTTAAAACCGATTCCATCTAATATAATATAACCATCCTTCTTAATATTTTAGTCATTTCCATGGGAAGCTTGGCATGTTTTAGAACATCAGAAAATTTTTTTCACGTAAAATCCACATGCAAATCCATCTTAGATATTGTGGAAATCTGAATAGTTCCAATATTTTCCAAATACAGTCTAACCTCGATATACCGATATTCGATATACCGATATACTATTAAAAACTTGATATACCGATAAAATTTTATTTTTCCACTATATGTGAGGACATATAAATATCGGTATAACTTTGATATAACGATATTTTCTAAAAATTTCATATATGTCCCGACATATCGTTATATAAAGGTTTGACTGTACCTTGTGACAAAACGGGTGTTACGATAACATGTAGTGTATGGATACCTATGTATGTAGGGTATGCAACGTTCCATACAGATCTACATTGTTTATTACCAAATAAGGAAAGGCCTAGACCGTTCTATTCTGTACCACGTATGGTCACGTGACCCTTTATAGGTGATGTTTAACCATACCTTACATACAAAGCCAACCATACACTACATGTTTACTATGCTCTCGGTCTATAACGATCTATTGGTATTATTTAAAAAAAATCAGAAAATTTTATTTATACAATATCTGTCTCACATATTATACCTATTATTAGAAAAAAAAATTTATACAATACATACCCATCTTATGTATTATACCAATCTATTGTTATTATTAGAAAAAAATTAAAAAAAAAATTTATTAACAAATCTTTTAGTGGTGTAATTACTCATTATTTATGACTATGGAGCACTCCCTATAAGAAATATGTATACGGAAAGGATACGTTTTGTATACATTTTATGTACGTTTCTATAGATTCTGTATACAAATTCCGTATATTTAATAAGCAATTCATTTTTGAACATTTTTTAAAAAAAACTAATGTATACGGAAAAAATTAATCATACGGAATGTATACGGAATTTTTAAACTTGATATTTTTAGAAAATAATTTTACAAAAATCTCGTATCATAACACGAGATCACGTGATTGTTTGTTGTTTTGTTATGATACGTTTTTTGTTTTTTTTATATAAACCCTTACTTTGAATACTTTGAAGAGTTTGATCTTCCGATCTTCCTTTCTGTCTTTCCTTTTCTTCTCTTTTCTCTTGTCTTATTTTTGTTATTTTTTCTAAATTTTTCTTCTTTTTTCGTCACCCCCCTTTTAAAAAAAAATTTTTTTTTTCGTACCTCACTTTAAAAATTTTTCTTTTTCAGCACTCTCCTTTAAAAAAAAAATTTTTTTTCGTCACTCCTTTAAAAAAAAAAAAATTTTTTTGATTTTATTCTTTTATTCCCACTCTTCTAAAAATTTCCTTCTTTCTATTTCTATTTCCCCTTTATAAAAAATTTTTTATTTTTCTAACTTTGACGTCCTCCCTTTAAAAAAAAATTTTTTTTAACTCTCCTAACTTCGTTACCCTCTTTAAAAAAATATTTTTTTTTGATTTATTCTTTATTCCCCTTTCTTTTTTATTTATATTTATCCCTTTTTTTTATTTCATAGGCCAGCAGATTTTTTTTTGTGAGAAGATTCAGTTTTTTTATAGATCAGTTTGGGAGTCCTTTCCTTTTTGTAGGATTGTTCAGGATTTTTTTCTTTTTTAGGTCAGTTCAAATTTTCTTAAGTTGGGTTCAGATTCTTTTCTTTTGTAGGTTGTTTCAGTTTTGTTGCTTCAGAGTCTTCTTTTTTTGTAGGTCAGTTTTGGATTTATTTTGTTGTTTTGGTTTCTTTTTCATCAGATGCTTCATAATTCTTTTCATTTATGCAGGTCAGACATTCTGGAGTTCTCTTTCTTTTTTTGTAGGAATGCTGACCTTTGGTGACTTGGACGATTGCAGATACTATATGAAGGGGGGGTTTTGTTTCCAATTAAGTTAGACGTTCTTTTTTGTTTTTTTTAGGTTGTTTGACTCCAAATGAACCTGAACCTATAGATAATTTTGGTTGCAATAGGTGGCCTTAATAAAGAGGGAATTTTCATAATGTATTTGTATTTTGTTTATTTTTTATTTTTTATTTAATTTAATAAAGTAAAATTAGATTTATGTAAATATAATTATAGTAAACTGTAATACAAATAGTAAATTCAGTGACCAAATCGTATAAATTTCGTGATAAAATCAGTGATCAAATCATGTAAATTCCATATGAATTCCGTGCAAATTCCGTATCCAAACCATATTTTTAGTGATACGAAATTGTGCATTTTTCCGTATCCTATTATGATACGTTATTTCTAAGGAAAAAAAATCGTATAAAAACTTTATAAAAAACGTATCCAATTTTTTTATAGGGACTTGCTTTAATTTTCTCCTTCATAAGGCCATTCCAAATTAATTTTTAGTTTAACATCCTACTCCCCCTCTATTTTTGAAAATTTTAAAATAATTTAAACACATATGTTCACATATGTTTAAAGCACCCCCTCTCTTTTCTGAAATTGGGTGTACCGAATATTTCCGACTTTACAGAAAACTTCCGAAAGTTTTAATATTATGTTTGTTTAAATTATTCCCTCCTCCCCCCCTTAAAATTTTTTAGCCAGAAAGGACGTTAAACTAATTATTAGTTTGGAATGGCCTAACTTTCTACTTCATTTAATTATCCTATTTGATTGCTCAAGGGTTTTCTCTAATTAAATATAATTAATTATTAAAATATTCCTCGCAACTGTCATTTAAAATATGTTTATCATAAATTTCAGTATATCTTAGATTCAATTTGACTTTGATTCAAATAATTTTGTAACGTAATATAGTCGTACAAGCATCTGCAGGAATATGTATTATCTATTTGGTTAGATCATCTAAAATTGTGTGATAACTGATAAGCCAAATTTATCGTGACGTAAATGATGATCACACTTATTTTCTTTTTCCATGATAAAAAAAGTCATTAATAAGAATTTAAATGTAAAATATTCAATATTTGATTTTTGGAGTAATTCCTTAATTCATGAGTTTCCGATTCTAAAACGTTTTTCCGATATATTGTAAATAAAATAGCGTAAACTTTAAAGCTTAATAAAAAGTTCACGGTGACAAGACAACAAACAAAAAAGACTAAAAAGAAATAATTCTTCAAATAGTGCATAGTAGTACAGTAGTTATTAGTTATAGAGCATTATTGTTTTTTTGTGTAATACTTTGATAAGAAATGCGTTACTACTGTGGCATAAAAAAATATATATATAAGTTTAAATTTATATATTGACGCTTATTTTTTTAATTCATAATCTTTATTAAATTACGAAAAAAATAGATGCAAGCTATTCAACGACTATAATATACATCTATTAAAATTTAAAAAAATTATTATATTTTTATTTAATAAATTAATAAAGAAAATAACTAGTAAGCAGAATTTCATAAAACCATTATTAGATAAATTGGGTAATTTTATTAGTAAATGTTAAAGTAATGCAGAAACTAGTTAAAATTTTTTTCGTCAGAAATTTTTTTTAAAAAAACCATTTTTTTTTTTATTAAAAATATGAAGTCAACATTTAAAATTTCCTATAAAATTTTTTAATAATGCTACAAAATACAAAATAATTGATTTACAATTTTTATACGTTTTTAATGAAAGAATTTCAAAATATTTTTTTTGATAACCTGATTTTTCATACCAAAATTCCATTTCCGTATTCATATATATTATCAAGATTACATTTACTTTATTTCCTAAATTTGCATATCAAAATATTTGTTTTAGATAAAATAAAAGTTATAACTTACTAACTTACTTCATCAATTTCTCCTAATTTTCGTCATAATAAAAATACATCATAATCTAAAAAATAAGAAATGTGAGTACTATTTAACCAAAAAAAACTTAACATGAATGGTTGATGAAAACATGTTATCAAAACATTTAGGCTTTAATCTGGAATATATTATGGGCGTCTTCCAGAAAAAAGGATAAATGCCGTACACCTATTTCTAAGCATACGCTCATTAGAAATTACTTAATAATGACCTAGTTATCATGTATACCCAGTATAGCCAATACCTTGCACACAGAAATTTGCTATCATCTGGAAATTCTGAAAACAGAAAAGGACGTTCACAGTAAAACTGTGGCCACGAAGCGCTTCCAGTTCTCTGAATCCAAAAAGTTCTCAATGAGAATAAATCAATTGCATGAAATAGATGTCAAAAAAATTGATGTTGAGGAAGGTACATAACTATTCCTCATTGCGAAACAGTAGACCTCAACAGGAACCGAAATCGGTCATCTAAATCACACACTAATCAACTAAAGCACCAGGTGCAAATGTGCAATAATCAATTAGATGTACTTGGAATTGTCTTTCAACAACCCTCACAGAATTTAATGAATAGATAGTACCTTAATTTGCCATTTTATACTGGTGCTGACATATAAATGATGCTTCTACAATGTTCAACCAAAAGATCCTATATAGAAATTGATTCTTCCATGGGGTGCCATTCGATAGATGTAATTGGCGCAAAATGCCACTTGAAATTTGCAACAGGTGAAGGTTTCATTTCTTTACTGTAAAGTTTGATTGTGTCTTGATTGTGAGATAAATATGTGTGTGATTATCTCCTGTTATCAGCCTGTTAGATAAGTTTAAACATTAAATCAACCCACACACACAAACCCATACACAACCTACACACAACAACCCACATACCTAAAGAAAGATGTAAAGAAAAGGGGCCTAAGAATAAAGAGAAGACGAAAAAAAAAATGAAGAGAAGACGAAAAAAAATAGAGAAGACGAAAAAAAAAGACGAAAAAAAATTAAGAGAAGACGAAAAAAAATAAAGAGAAGATAAAAAATTGAGATGAGAAGAATGAGAGACAAAAAAATTAAAAAAATATAAGGGTATATATACTTTTTTTTCTCATCTTGTATAATTATTGAGTCAAACACGTTGTGTTCTACGCGATTACGCGATTGAGGCTGAGTGTGGAAAGATCAGACACAATTATTGCCTAACTGACTCTAATAATAATAATAATATTGTATAGGTCAATGTGAGTCATATTAACTATAATCTGCATTCCGTTACATTTTATCAAGAAATCATGGAATAAGTTTTTTTTTATTTATTAAAGAAAAAAAGCTTTTGTATGTATCATAAAAAAATCGGAGTTGATTTATTTTTTAAAAAATGTTTATCGCTAAACAATACTGATAAGTGGCTTATTGTTTTACGATTACATATATTACATAATAGTTCTGCAGTGCAAAGGCACTTGGCAGCAGTCGCGTGAGTAGTCTATGAACTCACTAATTACGTGTAACTGCGCCATAATATATTTTTAGGAAAAGAATTAAATAATTTAATATGCTTACTTGCAGTATAAAAATTTATTGTTTAAGGATATGGAACCTAAGAGCGCAATCGTCTCCTATCTTATATTTAGAAGGTGATTTTCGACTTGTAAACTCCCAGAATAATACTCCCAAGCTGTAATGTCGCAAATTGGAGGAATACGGTAATACGTTATGCAATCAAAACTCAAAAGACGGGTTGATGATAAAGAGGTGTGTTGTGTTATCGATAATAGTTTTTATATTATTTAAGAATATTTTCTTTTAGATTTAATTAACGAAAATAGTTAGCTCGCATATAAATATTATGGAGTTACGAAATTAGAAAGTAATATAACAATTTTGCAATATATTTGTAAGTACTTAATTATTGACATGTCAGTTTCTATAGATGAAGAAAAGTATTCGCTTGTTCTTGAATATGCGGACTGTGGAACATTAGGAAAATATCTAAGGGACGATACTATGACTTTTAATTGGGAGAAACAATTAAGGTTCGCAAAAGAAATTGCAAGTGCGATTTTATGGTTACATGATGTTAAGGGAATCGTACATGGGGATCTTGTGAATAAAATATTTTGTGTTATCTTACTATATTACGTAATTAACATATTCTTTTTTTAGCATCCCAATAATATCTTAATACACAAAGATGCTCAGATTTTGGTCGTTCATTTGAAAAAGGAAAGGGCTGTAATGATACCGGAGTATATGGTGTAATACCCTATGTGGACTCCAACATGCTTAATCGTTTAGGAGTAATATTCTGTGAATTAACAAGTCGCTCATCACCTTTCAAACTATGAAAAACTATGAAACGAGAAACGATCACACTACTCTTATGTTGAATATTCATAGTGGTTTAAGAGAAGAACCGATTCCAAACACGAATATCAAATTTATTAAAAACTTTATCAACGTAAATATGAAATACTTTCGGGGCATGATTCCTTTGAGGTTTATGCATTGCAAACTAATTGTGACCCATTTGAATAGAATGTTAAAACATGAACCAGATAAACGACAGATATTCGCCAAGTAATTTCAGAACTCAGTATCATTGATTCTGACAATGTATCTACCGTTTTTTATCAGAAAGAGTTTGCTTCATACACAAATTGTACGATAGCTTGACAACAGTTATATTATTCAACAGATTTTCAATATTTCAATAAACAATTTTCATGTGGCAACAAAATTTTCAACGCATGTCCTTTGTTTTTTTTATGCAATCAAACACGACTAATGTCCTTCGTCTTTATTTTAAAAAACTGAGCTGGGTTTGTAATAATGTGTGGATCATAAAAGTAGATGCGAATTTCACACATAGCAATCCATAAAAAAATGAAATCGCTGGGAAAAACGGACCATGTGACGAAACAAGGCACGTGATTTTCGGGCATTAACTCAAATGTGCCCTGTAAAAAAATTTATCCATAATTTCTGTAAAATTCCGTGAATATATAAATATATTTACGGAAGAATTTTTCTAACTATCACCGGAGGTGATGATCACCGTTATGACGATCGACCAGCATTAAAAAATATAGTGCCGGTAAAAATTGATAATTCTGGCCAACGGTGATGATTACCCTCGGTGATCTTTACGGAAAATAACAAATTCTAAGCAATTTTCATGTTTGAAGGCTATAAATTCCGTGAATATGATGGGATCGGAATATATAACGAAAGAACAATCAAATAAGGTTACTTATAAACCCGCTGAAAGAAAATATTCATTTGCATATTATAAAATGTGATGAACAATATATTACAGTAGATAAGTAGTAATTTGATGTCGAAATGAAATTTAAGATTTAACCAATAAATTTACTCAAGATTGTTTAAAACTGGTGTCAATTATTTTTTGTGACAATAGAGTGATACAGTATAATATACTTTATAAGTTAATTTTAAAATATTTTCTGATATATAAAATTTTCGCAAACATTTGTTTTAATATAACTTTTTACTATTTAAAAATTGAAATCAGGTTATCCTGCTAAGATAATTAAAATAATTATAAATTTTATCCATAATTTCTGTAAAAGCTCTGTGATTATGATACATTTATCTAAAATCTAAACAACTTGGATAATTTCCATGTTTTGAGGCTATAAATTCCGTAAATATGATACATTTACGGGAAACAAGTAAACAACATTGAATAAAAAAAAATACGGAATAAATCTTTTATAGAGCACCTCATTACTTTGTATTTCGTTGACAAAACTAAAAATTTTCTTGTCATTGAATGAAAGAGAAAATAGAAAATTCTCCCTTTAAACCCATCATTTCACTGAAATTATTAGAAATATGCAAAAATTCACCATAAACTCCTTATTGTTAGCTGTTTAGCATAAGAAGAATCTTGTAAATATTACTTATTTTAATATTTGACGTGATGATCATGCTAACCAATTTATGGTTAGTTCTGTCATGCATCTTATTCTTATGCTTATCCTTATGCTTATTCTTATTTTTATACTTATGCAGAGTTATGCTTATTCTTATGCTTATTCTTATGCTTATTCTTATGCCTATGCTTATGCTTATGCTTATTCTTATTTTTATGCTTTATGCTTTAGGGTCAGCAATCAGCTGTTTACAGATAGTAGGTTAATATGTTTTTGAGAAAAAAAATTGATACATAATAAAAATGTCATGTTAATTCATAAAAAAGATTTCTTTGATATATTCGCGTCTTTGAAGTCATAATCCACGTCTCATTCTAATCCTAAAATATAATGTCACTCGAACAATAAATATAATTAGGTTATAAACAGTAATTGGAATACGTCAAATTCTGATAATGGTAATTTTCACATACAGTACAATGTCTTCGAAAAACTTTATGTAATATAGGTATTCATACAGACATACACAGTATACTATTAAAAGTCGATTATTGGTTTTTCTTCATTCCGGTGAGAAAACTTTTTATTAGGACCTCGAGCTATACATAGAATGGTCAGGTCACTGGTCAGGTCCTGGTTATTTGCTTAGAATGAGCCAAAATCATGTAGATCCACTCAGTTATCTACGACGGATTATTTATAAATTCGGGCAGCGCTATGCTTATTTAATCCTTGACCCACCTCTGAGATCCTAAAATTGTTATATTGCTTAACTGTCATGCAACGTGTAGTTATTAGTAATTTCTTTTCTAAGAACTAAATTGGTTCGGACCGAATTTAATATTCTTTAATGATGGATTTTTTTCTGCCTGGAACCAGTTTAGCCGCTTTTTAGAACCCAACTTATTCTTTACAGAATCAATTAGTAACTTACAGAAATTACATTGCTGCTCTAATGTATAACTTTTATTGATTATAGACAAAGTTAATGATCCAGCCACAGACTTAAACCGATATTTAGATCAGTTTCAACAATACATCTAAATTTGAAGTTGAATTTCTTAACGAAGGAGGAGTATTTAAACATCAACAATAAGACAAATAGAAATCATAGAGTCACAGTGTCACAATGTCATTAAGTCATCATTGAGTCTCAAAAATTTTATCTGTTGTATCGTACTTACATTCATAATGTTCATCGCATGTGCATGTTGTTAAGTTATCGCACCTTACAACGTAACCGTCGTATTCAGTGAACTCACCGTTACATTTTCGATGATCACCTGGAAAAAAGTTAGCAGGTAATTATTAGACAATATTCTAGCATAAACTTAGTCATTATTATAAGGTACTTTTTTAGATAAAGTGAGAAAGTTGTCTTTAAATAATAAAGGACCCCGAGTTATATAGGGGAGATCGGCACACATTTACTATTAGCTCTACGCATTTCTTTAGGCCGGCACTATGTAATGCTGGTCGGCATTATCCACAAATGGAAGCCACGTGATCGGTAAAGCTGGACAGAACTATAGTAATGTCAGCCTACATTACCGTTAGATTGAGAACAAAATTACGATTCATTTTTGTCCCATACTATGGCTTTGGCTCTGATCGAGTTACCAGTGCTTTACCTATTATTACTTCTTCATTGCTCGAAATTTTAACATTAGAAAACGCGATTATTATAACTTGCTTCTATTAGTAATTAATTATTATTTGAGCTAATTATGCATTTGAATATTGTATTTTCACTAATTATACTTGTATACAGTAGTACGTTATATCGGTTCTGATTTACCAAAAAACTGATCATTTGATCATTGACATATTAGTAATTGTACGTGAAAGGTATGAGTTATTTCATTTTAATTAATTAAAATTTATAGCTATGATGATTTGAAAATGATAAATCAAAAATAGGGAACGATTTCCTGAAAAAATTTTTATTACGAAAAGAGTAAATTTCACTTTTCTAAAAATCAATTTTAAAGAAATAGATTATGACAAATCTTAATTTTAACATATAATGATAATATTAAAATGATAATTAAAAATTTTATTAATGTAGTGAAATATAATACTGATTAAAAGAGTTAGAGATTAAGATTAAATTGAAGGTATGAAAATTGATTGAATCGTATATTAGATAAATTTGACTTGTTTAATTTTTAATATTTAATTATTAAAATAGATTGATTATACTTAATAGTAGTTTTATGCTGGCTTTTATTTATTTATTTTTGGATTCGTTAAAAACCGTGATATTCACGTGACTGAATATTTGTATTTTAGATAATTGATTGTAATAAAAATTATCATAAAAATAAAAAAATAAAAAATAAATAATAAAATTTTAAATTTTTTTTTATTACTTAAAGTGAACAAAGTTACAGTAAAAATTACTAATATCCTATTACTAAGAGTCTAAGACCAAAGCAATTCCGCAACTGTAAACCAAATCGCGATCAGACCTTGCGGAACTGATGCGATGCCACCTCGTTAGAAGAGTATGTCGAAGAAGCGCGGGCGCGAGTCATGGACATACGCCCAGGCAGCGTACCAAGAAAACGAAAAAAAAAGAAAAAACTGGGACCAGTAATATGACCAAATAAAGGGGGGAATAAAAAAAAGCGGAAGCTGAAAAAAAAAACCCCCCAAGGACGCCGAAAGAAAAAGAAAAAACTGCTCCCTACTATACACCTAAATTAATAATATTCATTGAGTCCTAAAACACTTTTATGAATATTCATAACTATTGTGGCCCTATAAATTTTAGTTTTATCAAAGCACACTTATTTTCTAATAACACGCTACAAAGTAATACAGATTTAGCGAATGATTTTTTCTCTGTCTATTTTACGTTGAATAATGCAAATGTAGATTTGACTCAACTTATTATTTAGTCAAGTGATAGTTTATCAGGTGGCAACAGAAATTACCAATAAGAGATAAACTACGTAGAGACGGATTTGTGTTGCCGGAATTACAATAGTTTAGATCATGGAAATTAGGCTGACATTATTAGCTGCCTTCATTCCGGATGTTGATCATTTCTGCCAAAATTAACCGTAATTCCGGATATATTCGGATTTTTTTAACCGAATACTAACTGGGTTAAAAATAAAAACTTTTAAATCTTTTTTATTCAAATTCAAATTCTAAAATTTGTAATAACAAATTTTTTTTTTTTTTTCTTCTAGAATCAGAAAAAATTGCTGACGATAAAATATCTATTTAAATTGAATATTAGAATTTCGGAAGCTTGGGATAAATTTTATTAATACTTGTTCTCCATTTAGATTATAGAAAAAAAAAGAAAAAAAAAAAATAGAACGATTCGAAGGTAATAATAATTAACTATTTTTGGTTTAAATTAAGATTTGTTCCAAATCTAATTAGGTTAGGCAGTTAATCTTATTCATATTTTTGTACTACATTTCATTTAAAAAAAAAATCTAATCTTTAATAGCTACGATGACATAAAATTTCGAATCAGGGGTCATAATAAAAAAGATTATGCGATTTACTGCACGAAAGGTTTTAACTATTAATTTTCTTATTTAAAAAATCTAAATTAGTAAAACTCAAAAAGTGGGAAAGTGGGATTTAACCATATATGAAAATTTTGCATGACAGTGATTATAAATCAGATTACAAGCATGCATATGCAACAAAAATATTCATCCGAATGAAATTATTTTTTTTTTTGAAAAATCAAAATTTAGTTTAATATGATTTGATATGACAAACTGTTATTATTATTATTATTATTTATTATTCGTCGAATATGATCAACATCGAAAAAATTTCCAGGAAATTTTATTTGTCTTTTATTTGTAAATATTCGATGAAATGATAATCAGTAGGTAAAGATCAGAATAAATATATATATAATAGTTATTGCGTCAGTTACAAAAAAAAATATCAATTATTTATCACTCCGTCAAAATCAGTAGAATATGATAAATATGATATAAATTATTAAATATTTATTTGGTTCTATTGGAAAAATCGAAGAAATTATGTTGGCAATTAAGAAAATTCATAAATTTATTTATTTTGTTGTATTTTTTTTATTAATGTTTATTTAACATTATTTATTTTATTTTATTTTATTTTACTTTAGAAGAGATGAATACATCGTCAGATACTGACTCGTTATGACAAAAAGGCATAATATAAGTACAAATCTAGACTAGATATACAAAATCCAACCGGCGGACTCACCTTTCGTTAGAAAGAACTGACTAATGGAGAACTAGTTGCCATAGCCCATAGCAGGGAGCGAACGAAGGGAATTAGAAACTAAAGTAAAAACAGGGGGATGCGTAACTAGAAGTAAATAAAGTGTTGTGTATACCACGGTTGGTTGTGACCGAAGTCTGTGTGAAATCATGATCTACCACCAATAGGGCTACGATCTACACCTTCTAGGCCTTGTCGATTATTTTGTGTTTGTTTGTGATTCGATCATCACAAATCGGAATCAAATCCCAAATCAGAAATCACAATAAAAAAATTTTTAGTAATTAAATAACGAAATAATATCATTTTTCCTAAAATAGACTATGAAAGACCATTACAGTTGTATACAGCTCTAAATGAAAATGAAACGATGAATTGGGAAATGAAACAATAATCCTTTTTTTTTTTAATGAATAGAATTTGGGATTTGTGATACTTTGAGGCTAAATCATATTCGACGCCTAAACAATTTTGGCGAAGATAATAAAAAGTAAAAAAAAACTTCTGCACGAATTCTTCTAAATGGATGCGAAAAAAAAACAGTAAAAAATACAAGATTTTTTTTTTTTAAAAAAAAAAAAAAAAAAAAAAAAGAAAAAATTTACAAGAAACAAGCATTCGCTTAAAAACTTTATCCTATCATCGGAACATTATGTAAGTAATAAATTTGAAGATTATGTATTTTAGAAACCAATCTTTTAATTATTCTATTTTTACTTCTTTTATTTCATGATTTTTTTTTGTTCAACAAACAAAAGATTTTCGAATGTATCATTATCATCATTGTTACAAATAACGATAAACGTTTATACTTCCGAATTCCGATAACTATACTAAAATTGATTATTTAAAAAATTTTTTTGGATGTTTATTCCGATCTTTAACTACCGATTATCATTTCATCATTTCATTGAAAATTTATAAAAAAAGAACAATAAAAATATTTTCCTGTTTCTTAGTACAACAGGAATTTTTTTTCCACGTCGATCATATGAAAATCAAAGGGCACATACCGAATTCTATTTATTGAATAATAATAAAAAAAGTAGTAACAATAATGATTTGTCATGTTAGACCAATTTTGATTTTTCAAAAGAAAAATGAAAAATTATAATTTCGTTCTGATGTACTTTTTTGTTGCTTATGCATGCATGTAATCTGCATTCAATCATCAACGTGCACAGTTTTTACTAATTTGGATTTTTTAAATGATAAATTAATAACGCGTAGATCCTTCTTTTTTTGGATAATGCTAGGCAGCATTACATAATTCTGGCCCAGAAGAGATGCGTAGCTAATTATAAATGAGTATTTATTATATTTATATTGCTCGGAGCCTACCGTGTTACTGCAGTAGATTTTTTTTTTTAAAATAAATTGTGCACTTTCACGGACTTTACTTTCTTCATCTCTTCTTGAGTTAAAAATACAGTTATATTTTTATTAGCTAAAAAACTTTTTTAACAAAAAACATGGAACGTAAACAACGAAATAATACATTTACTAAAAATGTTGCAAACTATCTTAATTTTAATAAGCATAAAGACGAAAAAGACATAAATTATGGAAAAGACGATATCACTATGAATAAAGAAGTTTATCAAATTGAACTTTGTCTGGATGGAAGATTTGCTGCTACATTCGATACAGGTAAAAAAAAACTCATGAATTTTATTAGTATACAATTATGTGACTTAAACTTATATCGATAAGTTCCTTTACCTTTTTTTTTTCTTTAAAAAAAATTAAATAGCAAACCTTCGGATCAAAATATTGCAGAATACTGATTATCGTCCATTTATATTCAATAAGAAAAAGAATTTCAGAAATGAAAATGAACTTGAAGAATCCGTTGAAATTGATAAAACAATCGCTTATTTTAAAATAAAAGATGATTTTAGTATTGACAAGCTCTACGACCAAGACCCTCCTCCATTTGATGGCAACAACGTTGGCTTTTCAGACAATGATGAAAATGAAACAAAAAAATCCAATTTTAGATGGTCTTTTGATATATCAAACATGCACAAGAATAATGACAAATATTTTATTTTTGTCGCCGTATCTCGTATAAACATTGAAGAGGATATGAAAGGAAAGAAAAAGGATGAGGATATAAAAGGAAACGATAAGCAGAAAAAGCAGAAAAAGGATGATAATGGAAAATCTGATTATGAAAGAGAACCATTTAGAAAAAGGATATTTAATTGTCCTAACGAACATGAAAATATACTATCCAACGATGAAACTAGAATAAATATATCATCAACTGACGAAAATATTACCGCAACTAGTAACACAACAGATGAAAGTAAAAAAGGAGTTGAAAAAGGAGTTGCTATTTATCGTATTGAATTAAATGAGAAAAAAGAAAAAGAAAATTATGTTCTTAGTGCTGTGACTTGTTATTCTTATGAAAAAATTTCAGGAATATGTAAATTCATTGAAGCTTCAAATGATGATTATTTAAGTAAAGATGATTCAAGTAAAGATGATTCAAGTAAAGATGATTCAAGTAAAGATGATTCACATAATTCTGAACTGAAGAGATTTACAATATTGAATTTCCGTGGAATATATAATATTGAATTTAATGATGATTATGATTTTTTGAAATTGAATGAAAAATTTGAATATCCACAAAATATTAGATTTGTATTAGACCATTGGCTTACATTTGCTGAATTTGCTGATTGTACGAATAGACTTCTTTCGTGTATTTATGATAAATATTTTTTGGTTACACGATATAAAAATAGCGAGCAATCGCTTGAAGGTAATTGCTTATTTATCTCGTCTTAATAATGTTAAATATATTTATAATATAATATATTTTTTAGTTTATGATCTGGCAAAAATGGAACATGAAATTGGTGCAAGACTTGTTAAAAATATTGTAGATGAATATATTGAATATATTTTTTCAGTTAGTAGGTTGCAACTTTGCTTTACTCAAGTTAATACTGTTAAGTAAGTTGTTATGTTAAAAGTTATTAATAATAATCTTTGATTGGTGCATAATTTCACATTATTAATTATAAATTTATTAGATTATTTCATATAGAAAATGGCTTGGAAATCGCATCAAAAAAATTTAAAGAACTAGAAAAAATTTATTTGTTGGAATTTATTGATAGTGATAAAAAATTACTCATAATAGGCCAAGGTCTAAAAAAAGGCGAGGATCAAAAAGACGAGCTAAAAGTAGAAGATCTGGAAGAAGGTGAAGATCAAGAAAGTAACAAAGATAAGGAAGACAAAAAAGTGCTGAAGTTTATAATTTGGGATCTGTACAATACCGGCGAACATGAATTAGTGGAGTTACATAATTTTCCAATTACTAAAACTAACATGGATGATATTTACACTCGTTTAGCCATAACTTCGGGAAATATTTTACAAATCGATGATGATGGAAAAGTTTCATCTGTTCTTAAAAAAGTTGAAAATGAAATCAATAAGAAAAAATTAGATAAAGCTGCAGGTCCAAATATAGTTTTAAAGAACATTTTTGGAAAGTTAAATGGAAAAGATGATAAAAATCATACTTTATATTACGATAAAAACATAAATTTCAAACAAATATGTAATGACAGAGAGCCATGGTTACCGGGTGGTAGTAAAAGGACTTCTTATTGTCTTTATTATAATGAAAAAGGAACAGAAACAGAAACTTTACAGCTTATTGTTGGTAGATCAACTGTTCAAATTTGGCATCAAGTAAATGATAGTAAAAACAAAGATGTACTTCCTAACAAAGGAGAAGCCTTTCTTGAATATATATGGTCAAATCGTATTCCAGTAAAACAAGAAAGAGAAATAACGAGTTTAAGAATTGAAAAGTTTGAATATGGACCAAATTATGGATCAAAAAGTAAAGAATATGATTTTTATTTAAAAGTTTATTGGTTTGAAAGAAATGATAGTTCAAAACAGGAAGAGCGTAAAAAAATGACAGAGCAAGAAATAATAAAGGAAGAAGACGATGAAATAAATCGTATAGAAAAAGAATTAAAACAGATTAATAGTAAAGATAATGACCTAAACGAAGCGGAAAAAGAGAAAAAAAGACAAGAAATAATAAATAATTGTGTAAAGGTAAAAATACGAGAAAAAGTGATTCGAGGAAAAGATGCTATTAAAAAATCTCATGTAGCAAGACACGCTTGCAAAGCATTAGAACATACAAGAAAGCGTTATAAAAGTAAAAGCGATGCGGATAATTATAAAGTAAGTTAATTTAATTAAAGTTTATTTATTTATTTTTTTTTTATAAATAATAATATTAACACTCATTAACGCTTCTTATTAATAAAAAGTATGAGAGGTTTTCTAACTATATCGAACATATAATCTGGAGATTTGCTAAATATGAACCAGAAAATTTCAGATTATTAGATATTCGATATAATCTTATGAAAAGTTTAATACTTGCTGATTGTGATCGTTTAATAAAATTTATATTATTTGGATATGAAGAAACCGCCAAAAATAAAATTGATTACAGACATGTACCAAGTAGTAAATTATGGCCAGGAAAAAAGTTTTTAAAAGATGATGACCTTGATTTTGACGAAAGAGAATATGGTCTAAAAAAGCAAGAAAATAATGATCTTAACGAAAGAAAGCCAGAAAATGATAGTATGAAACAAGCAATTTATTATTATTGTAAAAAGATTTACCTTTACTTTTTCAAAAGAGAGCCAAAAGAGCCAGAAAATAATATGGAACTAGCAATTTATTATTGTAGAGGTAAATATAACTTCAGGATGCAATATTATTGATTATAATCAAAATAACGTTATTTTATTTTTAGGTCGTGAGCTTAAAGATGCGATTAAAGTTGCTTATCTTTTGGAATATTACTCCAGAAATCCTACGAATTGTGTGGGTTGGATGTGTACCGTTTCTAAGGCAATTCCTTTATTATTTAAATATAATTATGGTTCGTTTTTCTTTTTTAATTTTAATTTTATTTTCATCCAAAATTTGTGAAATTTATATATATTTTTTTTTTACATGAAACTTAGACGATTTTGCCAGGAAGTTATTTATCAGATGTTTTGCGGAGGGTCATCTCTCAGGTCAAGATCCTGACGAAATTATTCCAAAAGGATACCTAGAAAATTACAATAGTGACATCAAATTTAGGGCTCTGATACCTTTAGTTAAGTTGAAGTCTGATGAATCTGCTAAACTTAAGTGGTACGATCATAATTGGATTTGGAACAAATTTAAAGATTTAATAAATAAACTCAAAGGATATAGAAACTTCGAAAAATCACCATTAGCTTTACGAATTGTTCCATTTCCTGGTTTTACTATAAATAGCATTAAAAAGAACGAAAAAAAACTTAACTTATTTGAAGAATTTTTAAGTCCCCTTTTGTCTATACTTATACCAAAACCGCGTCAAATCAAACAAAGTGAAACGAATAAGTTGAGTCCTTTTTCTAGGATGATACTTTATGAGAATAATGGTGATGTTTATGACAATCCAGCAATTGAAGCAGTTATCAATTTTCGTTGGCAAAAGACAAAATATTACTTGTATTTTCTCTGCCTTCGTTTTCTGATTTTTGGCATTTGTTTTATGTTAGTTAGTTTGGCATATTTGGATCGTAGTTTTATTGTAAATGGAAATCTTTTATTAGTTTTGATTATTGTATTCTATTATTTGGCAATTTATCTATTTATTATTGAAGTGAAACAGATTCGTTATCGTGGACCTAAAAAATATATGCTTGACTTACTTAACATTGTTGATATGATTTCTATTATACTTCCTGTAACGGTAATGTCGATGATGCTTGATAGTTTTCAACTTTCTGATGGTTTTGGAATTATTGAAGAATCTGATTCCAAATTAGTTGTAGAGATATCATTCTCAATTTTTTTAATTTGGATTCAATTTGTAAGTTTTTATTTATAAATGAATACTTTTTTTCTATATAAAATTAATTAAACAATTTATTAATTTTTTAGATTTTATTTCTCCGTATAAAAACAAGTAAAAAGAATACATTTTATTTAATTATTATTTGTATATATACATATATTTTCGCAATGAATTATTAATTATTATATTATTTTTCCATTATGCATCAGATATTGGAATTTATATTTATTACGTTGTAATTATTTTTGAAGCCATAATTCCATTTCTTTGGTTTATGTTTTTTGTGATACTTGCATTTGCACACACAATGTATTTAAATATTTTATTATTATTTCCAAGTTATTGATTTCATTTCCAAATTTCAATATAATTAATTTTTTTTAATTTTATAATATATAGGTTTATTCTGCTTAGAGATCCTAATAAAAACATAACAATTAAAAATTCTACATATAGTGGAAATGCTACAAATTTATCAACAAATGAGACACTTAATATTACACTTAAATCTGATTTTAATCCTAAATCTAGTGATGATAATCCATTTTCAACCTTTTCTACAGCAATGGAAGCCGCATATTTTTGGATTAGTGGTGATTGGGTTCAAAGAGATGATTTTGAATATTGGGCTGTTGACTTCTTTACCTTGATTGCTAGTATATTCCTTGTAATCATTTTACAAAATATCTTGATTGCTTTTATGAAGTAAGTATTTTTTTACAAATTTAGTAACATAAATTATTTGACATTCTTTTATATTTATTTATTTGCTTTATTTAGTGGTGTTTATACAACAGCAGAAACTAAAGGCAAACAAAAATTATTAAGATATCAAGCAAATTATATAGCAACATTTGAAGCATTACATATTCATTTTTCGGGACCTGAACCTGAACCTCAACCAAAACATATATATTACTTTAGTCTAGCTAAAAATTTTGAAGAATGGTATGATACAAGAAAAAGAGAACAAGGTGCTATTTATAAAGATTATGAAGAAGAAGAATCATCTATATTTACGACAAGCGATATTTTTAAAGAACGTGATTATGACAAAAGATCATTTTTAACATATAATGATAATATTAAAATTATAGTTAAAGATTTTATTAATTCAGTGAATGATAATACTAAGAATTTGATTAAAAGAGCAATAGATAAAAATTCAATTGAAGAAATTGATGATGTGGAAGATGATTTAAAGCGTATATTAGAAAAATTGGAGAAAAAATATTTGTAAAATTTGATTTGTATATTATTTAAAAATCTTACAATTTTTTTTTATTAATTTTTAATAATTATTTATTAATCGTAATTGTTTAAGTCATTAGTTATTTTACTTTATTTATTTTTTTTTCGACTTTTTTTGGGTCGTTGAAGTTCACGTGACTTTGAATATTTGTATTACTTCGCATTTTTTAAAATATGATAATATATTAGATAATTGATATAGAAACGAAATTTAATATTCAGTCATAGAAAATGTAAATAAATTTGCTTAATAGCTTATATCTAATATTTATGTGGACATTTGAAATTGGATATTATAGCATTGTTAACGAGAAAGGAATTAGAACTAGTCAATAATAATTAAATTATATAAAATTTCTGTTGAAACTTTATTTTTGTGATAGTACTGTATAAAAAGTTTCAGTTAAAATAAACTACAGTGCGTACAACTATTGTGCAAATATGGTCATATGTAAACTTTTTTTTTTAATAATGAACCTGCCTTCTGTCACATAAATAAAGTTGGTCATCAAGTTGAATTACATTTACTCTAAAAATTATACATAATTTTAACAAGAATTGGCCATTATATTTTAAATTTTTATCAGAAAATTTAAGATTTTAATAGAAATCTTTAGGTATTATCATAATATTAAAATAATTTGTTTTATCATGTTTTNGACATTTGAAATTGGATATTATAGCATTGTTAACGAGAAAGGAATTAGAATTACTAAGTAATAATTAAATTTTTATCAGAAAATTTAAGATTTTAATAGAAATCTTTAGGTATTATCATAATATTAAAATAATTTGTTTTATCATGTTTTTTTTTTTGAATAAAATCGTCTACCACGATTTTTAGTACATTATTATAAAGTATTATTAAAATCAATAAAATAATTGATAAGTTACATATATTTTACAAACATATTTTACATCTATATATTATTAATAAATTATCAAATTAAGCATAAATTATAATCTTGAATTTTATTATGATAAAAAATTGAAGAATAAATGGCTGTAACCAAATATTTTTTGAAAAAAAAAATTTGGCCAAATTCAATGCATTAGTTAACGCTAAAATTTGATAAATAATTTGGTAATGATCTACAAATGATCAGCAAATGCTGGCTAAATGTGCATAACTTTCTAATCATTTCATTAATTTTGATGATACTTTAACAATAATGTGCTATAAATTATAGCAAACAATTTTATTAAAAAAATTAAAGCATTGATGAATAAGTTATTTAATTTTTATTAATACCTAAAGATCTCTATTGAAATCTTAAGTTTTCTAATAAAATTTAGAATATAATGGCCAATTCTTATTAAAATTACATATAATTTTTAGAGTAAATGTAATTCAACTAGATGATTAACTTTAATTATACGATAAAAGGCAGGTTTATTATTAAAAAAAAAGTTAACATATGATCATATTTGCGCAATAGTTGTACGAATTTAAAGGTGTCCGGTGACTTATTGGTGGGCACTGTATTTGTTTTATATATATATAAGTTTAATTTATATGTTTTTCAGTTATTGAATTTTTTCATTATCACGAACCGTAGTAAACCAAATAATTTATAAATTTTACTATATTAAAAGACTTGCGAAAAAAACGTTTATATATTAGAAAATAACTATCCCGCTTTTTAACATTTACTTTAGTATATCTATTAAGAATGAAAACTAGTTATCCGACTAAAAATAAGAGCAAATTAATAAATTAGGGTTGCACCGAGTTAGCTGATCGATCTGATCAACCGTTGCGTTGTGGAAAAAAAATTAAAAAAAAAAATAAAATTTTTTGCCATTAAATAAAGAGAATATTAGAGAAATTTTATTGTAAATTTTATCAACTTATGAGAAGGATGTAAAACTCACCACAAACCTAACCTGCCAAAGAAATAAATTAATTTAGTCCGAAAATATTCAACTTTATACAATAATTTCAGTATTTTTATTTTACAAAAAATCGAAAGAATGTGAATTTTCTTTTCTTTTTATTTTACTATAATACGAGCATTTCCTAAATAAATATTATTATATGTCATAATTCATGATTACATACTACAGTAGTATCATAGTATGTCTTAAAAAGTAACGTCGTTAATTGAACTTTACATTTAATGTTAAAATTGCCATCTTTTTTATGGCGGATGAAAAAGTACTTTGTCTCCGGATTTTTAATTTGAAAAATAAGCGCTCAAATATTAACAGCCAGCCTGCATAAGTAAAAATTGTAAACATGAAAGTATTTAATATCTTTAATTGATTTATCATAAAAATTTAGTTGCCATCATTAAACATTAAATGAATTCTACTTTAATTCTTCATTTCTTCATAATTATTATAATTTATATTTGAGTTTTCAATTCTTTCAACAAATATTAAAGGTTAGGTTGCGATCATCATGGTGAATAAACTTTGATTTTTGCAGATTACAAATTTTAAAAAAGACGAACCCACTAAAAATGTACCACTAGAAAAAGAAAAGCTTAAATCATATATTTTTTGGTGGTGTTACGCGAATTTTATGTGCATGTGATTTCCGATATTGTGTGATGATCCGATGAAATTTCGGTACATTTGTGTACACGTCGATTTCCGATGTTACGAGACGATTTACGCCGATGTATAGTTATTTGTGTATATCAGTTAACTATATTAAAGATATTGATTCTATATGATAAATTTACTTATATATTGTTTTTATATTTATTTTAATTTATTCAATTTATTTATTTATTATTAGTTATTTTCTTTATTTTCTTTATTTGTATTATTTATACGTATACAATTTTATTAGAATTTATTAGAAGATAATTGTGTGAGAATTAGTTCAATAGTATTAATTGTCCAAATTTATCAATTGTGTTCTATTTAAAAGTGGCTTACAATAAAAATTATCGCTATTGTAATATTATGATGAAACATTGACGATTGGACATCTATAGATTAGATTTCGCCTTTGATTGTTAGAAAAAGAGATGGCAGTAAGATATAAATATGCCTCTACCAACTCCATGATAAGGGAAGGGACCTATATAGTTGTTCTAGAGAATTTTCCCCTATCCTTTTATTCGTTTTATTGTAAACCGAAAGGATCCTTTTTATTAAATAAAATCGTTACGTTTTGGCTATTTACATTGTTTCTATATATTCCATATAATATTTATTATATATATATCGCGTATTACTATTAATCGTGTTTTATAGTTGGTTACCTTGACGATTCTTAACGAACAATACCGGAAATACCTTGGATAGGTAGTATTGAGTAAGAATTTCGTTGGTATCCGTGTAGTTATACGATATAAGTTATCCGCCATACGTCCCTTAATTGCCGCCTTTATTCGGTAACAGTGGCAATGATCTACATATTAATTTTACTGCGCCATTAGTTGGGCGATTTATTTTCATTAAAAATGAATTTGATCCCTTCATTTGGATTCTAGAAAAAAAAAGAAATGTGGCGTACGTTTATTTTGAGTTGCCAAATTTAATTATATTATGCAATTATTATTATTTTTTTTTTTTTAACGAAGTCAAATATATTACTTTATTTAGAAATAAGAAAAATTACAAAAAAAGAAAAGATCTACATTTTATAACATTTAGTAAAGAACACGATCGAACTATACTATAATATTATTAGGGACTTAAGATTTTATGTTCAAAAGAACTATCTACCATCCTGCTCACCCAAATAGGTTCACTAAACTATCCGCATAACTACTACTATTCGTATGGACTTCGGTAATGTTATATAAAAAACTCGCCACAACTCCTTTAACTACTACTACAGTACAACATCAAAGATAAAAAAAAACAATACTGCGAAACACTACCGTAATCAACAATATTATATAATCTATTGTATTGCTCCAAAATAAATATGACTTTGAAGACTTTGTAGATTAAAGTATTTCTTATTTTTTATTATATTATGCAATTAACATTATCTAAAAGCTGATTAATGTTAAAAGCTTATTATCAGTTTTTATTTTTGGTCAGTTAATTTAGCTTGTCGCTTAGGATACTTTTTCTGGGGATCATCTAAAGTGACCATCATTACGGCATAAATGTGACAAACAATTGGGTGACGATTAGGTGTTCACTAAACCGAAAAATGGATAGTGTGACATAATGGGACTACTATGATCACGTGCGTGATACTACGCCGCTTCTCGTTTTTTTCGTAATCTTGGAGTAATTTTGTTAATCGGTTAATATTAACGCTACAGAAAATATACTTTAATAAAATAATATCAATTGCAATATATCTAAAATCAAATTTAATAATTTATTTTATATCAGCATATTCTACCTACTGTGTTAACCTACAAAACCTACAAAGTAATTCTTATTTTTATAACTCTTTTTTTTTTAAAAAAAAAGAGCTCACTTTTTTAGTATTAAAATTGAAATATAATAAACATTACAATGTTATTAAAAACAGATTCATTTTTCAGTATTTGATAATTTTATCACTCATGTTATTATCACTGAAAATAAGGAAACTCAATATTTTTCCGAATATAAATTTGGAATCTTTTTTTTCTTTTTTTTTTTTCTAAAAATAAAAAATTATTTTTGGTTACAAAATGTAAAAACTACAATCCAAAATTTCAAGAAACCTTATTTAAAATTGAGTAGCCATTTTTGTATGTCAATGTACATTTTATAAGTGCATCTTTTTTATTTTTCGATTTCGCTTTAATAATAGAGGCTTGGTAATTTATATAGTAGCTAGTATATGATCATATATTCAATTTACGTACTTCTTATTTTATTGTAACGTTATATGTTCTGTAAACATCATTTAGGCAGTTTAATTCATTTTTATTGTTGAAATACTGTTTGGATAAACCTTTCCTTATTGAATATGAATCTCGCAGATTAATTTGACATAATTTATTTTTACTGTAATATTTAAAAATAAAAATCGATCTAATCTTTAATAGCTGCGATGACACAAAATTTCAAATCAGGAGTCATAATAAAGAATCAGGCGATTTACCGTACGAAAGTTTTTGACAAATAATTTTTTTAATTGAAAAATCTTAAATTAGTAAAACTGTCAAAGTAGGACACAGTAAAAAGTTCCTATCAAGTTTTCGTATAAAAAATGTAAAATATGTTAATATAATCAATTTAATACAATTATAAGCATCCATTCGTACAATATTTGTAATAAATATGTAGTATTTTTTATTTAGCATTCAAAGTAAGTTTGTATATTACTTATTAGATTTTTGTTTTACATATGTGTAAATTATATAAACATAATATATTAAATATGTTAAATATGTATTAATTTGCTAAAAATATTTATAATATGCTATACTAAAAATAATTAATAAAACTATTTATTACATTGAATCTTATCATATTTTCGTTCATTATCATCATTTTTCTGTCGTGTTATATTACGCTTACGATTAAAACGCCTTACTTGAGGGATTTCTTTTTGCTCTTCATCATTATGTAATTTTTGTGTTGTTTACGCTTTCGACCACAATGTTTTACTTGAGGAGCCTCTTGATCATCTTCATGTCTCGTTCTTCATCACTTTTTGTTGTATTACGTTACACTTGTGACTAGAGCGTCTTACTTGAGAAGTTTCTTTTCATTTTTCATTATTGTGTTATTGTGTGTTGCTTTATGCTTGTTACCATAATCTTTAACTTGTGAAACTTCTTGATCAATTTCTCTTTTGTTGTATTACTCTATCAACTGCTTTCAATATAATATTATAATTATTAGTTAATTTTTGTAAAATAATTTATACTTCTTACTTTGTGTAAGTTCATTATATAATTCATTTGATTAATTTACAAAAAAAAATTTCATATAATATTTGAAAATTACCACAATTTTTTGTTGATAAAGTTGGTCCGCTTGCTTGTTGTCCTTCTTCATTGATTTCATTATTAGATTCAATCAATTTTCTTTTCTTAAATCTTTTGCTATTTCCATTTGGTTTACGAGACTTAGATATCTTTTGAGTTTTATCACTAAGATTAAGAGTTGATCCTACATGTTTAGAAAAGAATATTGTTAAACAATTCAGCTGATTAATTTAAAAATTAAACATATGACTTACGCTTATAATTAACATGTCGACGGATCATCTCACGTTCTGCCCAATCACTAACAGTTTCTGGAAAAGATGGATTTTTTTTTCAAAACTAAGGCAAATAAAAAACTAAACATTAAGTTAAAAAAATCAAATTAATAAATTCAATTATTTACCTTATCGATACATTTATTAATTTCACTAAGAGGTATATCACGATATTCAGTAGTAGGGAATAAAGGATAGAGCTTTTCAGCCACTAAAAGCCTCGTAGACCCTGCAATTTTTAAAGTTAAACAATCTTTTTTTTAAAAAAAAAATTCAATTATAAATAATACAATACCATATAACAATGCCAAATTCTTTTTGGTATACGAAGATAAGAAGGAATGTTTGGTAGTTTATATTTTCTTTTTGAAAATTGGCTATTATGATGTATAATAAAGATGAATAATAAACCAATGTATGTAATTGTTCTAGTTAATCGTTAATTATTTAAATCATTCTATTTACCATTTTGTAATCAATGATTCACATAATTTGCGCCTACTTGGATTTTTTTTAAAAAAAAAGTTTCGCTTCTTTTAATTATCTTACGCTCCATTGTTTTGTTTCTTTGCAATTTCACCTGTTCAGGAGAATTCAGTAACACTTTTTTGATTTGATGATCCCTTTTTCATTTTCGTGATGATTTGTCTTCTGATATTTTTGGTTGATTTAACATTAATACTTTTTTGTTTTTTCCTTTTTATTTTGTTAGTATTTTCTAATTTTGCAATTTTTTTTTTTTAAGTTCAGCAATTTTTTTGGACATTGTATTTTCTTCATATTCACTGTTAAAAGAGTTAGATGTTTCGCTATCATTATATTCCATTTTAAATATTATTATAGCAAATAATAAATATTAAATAACTTGATAATATAAACTTGTACGAAATTATTATTATTATTTTTTTTTTCCTCGCTTTGGAAAAAAAAGGATGAAAGATGTAATTATTATAATCACGAAACTTCGAAACTATGCTTAAACTATATATCAATTTTGGTGGTGCAGTATTTTATTATGTAATAAATAAACTTATGCTTTTTCTCATATCCTATTATTACTTATAATTAAGGAATGTAGCATCGAAACATTACATAATTGATTAGCTAATGTCTTGCAGCTCCGTTTTGTGGGCGCGGTTTCTATTCATGCACGACGATCCTACTGTAAACTGTATAAATAAATTTCACGTGATTATATAAAAAAGGGAGTGCTCATAATTAGACTATTTCTATACACTTTTATTTTTTTTATTATTTAAACTAAATCATATCATTTATAATCATTAAAAATATTATCAAAATTATAATTATTAAAATAATTTCTAAATAATTTTTTTTAAGAAAAATGATTACAAAAAATCGTCAAAGAAAAAGGAAAAAGAAAAGTAACAAAGAATTAAAAGACTCTTGTAATTGTCTAAAATGCCAAAGGTTTCCTTTGGGTTATAATCCAGTTTCAATTTCAACACGTACACGTCATTGAAAGAAATACTTCCAAAGTTGATTCAATTAGCTGATATATTTTGGTGATTATGCCGATCATGCGATGTCAATCAAAATATTTAAGCCACATGTCCGCAAATTCTTTTTAATATTTGACACTTTATATAGTAAGAAACCCGGTATTTGTATCCTTTAACTGTTGAGATAACAATTTAAAAACACACTGAAGAAAAATAGGAATTATAGTGAAGTTTCTGTAATGAAAGTTGCTCTTTAATCTATTTAGAAGCGATAAAGTGGATGTTTGAAAATATTTATTGCGTATTTCTCTAAAAATTTGGCATATTGGAGAAGTTTATTATAAAATATATTGCACAAATCTATTGAAATCTATCTAATAATCATTACATTTATTTGGTTAAACAAACTATAGGAAAAATCAAAAAAATTATGTTATTAACTAAAAAATTTCATAAATTTGTGTATTTTTTTTTATTTTTTAATTAATATATTTTTTTAACATTGTTCTGTAATTAATTTATTTATACTTTCGCCATGAACAATTATTCTATTTATGTGGTCTATATTTAAATTGTTCAAAATTTTGATTCTATATATAAAAATTGTCATGTATCGCATGACTGCCGATCATTTTGTGTTGTTTTTGTATTTTTGTAACGTTCTAACCCTCCGTTTTAGTAATTAATATCAATGTATTTCTTAAAATAGATTGTGAAATGGTCTCAATTAAAAGATTTGGAAAATGATATAAAGTAACAACATTCTTTTAATAGAATTTGGAAATTTATGTACTTTGATGCTAAAATCATAATTGACGCCTAAACAATTTTGGTGAAATAATAAAAATTTTTAAAAAAAAACTTCTGCACGGATTCTTGAAAAAAAAACAGTAAAAAGTACTAGAATTATTCTATTTTTATAACTTTTTATTTTGCGAATTTTTCTCGTTCATTAAACAAAGATTTTTTCAATGTATCATTATGGTAATATGTTAAAAGATAGTGTTTATACTTATATTACTGATTTAGGATTGTGTCGACCAGTAAATGTAAAATCTTCTCAAAATGAATATGAAAAACAAGTATATGGAGTATTACCTTACATGTCGCCTGAAATTTTAAGAGGAGGGGAATATACTCAAAAAAGTGATATTTATGGATTTGGGATTATTGCATATGAAGTCTGTACAGGGCTTCCTCCTTAATATCATGATATTGCTCATGATAAAATCTTAGCTATTAGCATTTGTCAAGGGCTTAGACCAAAATCCAATTATAAAATTTCTCAACTAATTTTGGATATAATTTAACAATGTTGGGATACAGATCCTTCAAAACGACCTAAAACAAAAAAGTTATATAACTTATTAAATGATTTATATGTACGTAAACATTATGGTGAAATCAATAAGCAAATTGAAGAAGCAGATAAAATTAATGAGAAATTAACTTCCGGTTTATCGAATTTCACTGTGTAATAATAAAGAGGATCTATCGGTTCCACTAAAAATATCCGGTTTATTGTATTTGGTATATCGAAAAAATTTTGATATACCGGATTTCATATAAAATCATGTGATAATCCGGTATATCAAATTTTTATGTGACGTAACAATAATTAAAAACTTAAAAAATCTCTTTATTTATTATCAAAATATTACATATACTAAAAACAACTAAAGTTGAAAAAAATCTTCTAATCTACCCTGCTTCTGCTTTTTCTTACTATCAGAAATAATTTTTTTCTTTAAATTAACCAAATTTTGCATATCCAAACTATTAATACCTAAATCATTTTGCCGAACATATTTTAATTAATTTTTCAATGCTACTTAATGAGTCTGATGTAGTTATAATTTCATGTTCTTCTTCCATCTCATCTTCTACTGCACTTTGCCCTTTAACTATATTAACAATTTCCTCTAATGATAATTCTTCTTCAGCAAAAATTTCATCATCAATATTAGTACAGAACGACATTGCATTTGAAATGCGTAGAAGTAGAATGTCCTCATACTTCAGATAATTACGTAATGCCGGTTGGAATTATCAAGGATGGATTTTCAGGATTCTTGGAATTAATTAATAAAGTATCGAAATTCCAATTTTTCAGCACTTGAAAATTTTTTAGAATTTTAACTTAACTATACAATAATGTACAGTGCATGCTTTTTTTAGTATTAAGTTGTTTAAATTCTTCACATACCGGTTCATGAATCCAAATTCTTACGTTAAGTCACTAAGATATAGAAAGAGTTGCCTTTTATTCTCATAATCATTATAATACTTAACTATATTTATATTTTGCAAAAAATTTAGTCCGTAGTTTGTAATCACTAAATGTCAAAAGTAATCACTGCATAATTTTATTAGTATGAACTATGAAGGATCAATATAAAGTCCATAAATGTTTTTTAATAGACTTATTTATATGTAAGTTGCTTATAATGTAGGCGTTATAAGAAAGTTTTTATTAAAGTAATTAGTGAGTGATAAAAAAAGAAATCATAATATCTAATACTAGGTTCTATCGGACAAAAGCAAGAATAATGGAAATGTTAAAATAAAACAACTACTTCAATTTTCCTTTGTTGATGCACCACTTACACTGTTAATACTGCAACGTTTTGATTAATGAAAGAATAAAGAAAATTTGTAATACAATTTCACCATTAAATTTCCGTTAACTTTCAGTTAGTGATTGATTTCTAATCACGTGTATACCCAATCAAATTATATTACACGTGATTAATTAAACGTGATCAAACTTTTTTTTTTGAATCAATCATTGATTAAATCATTAAATCCACTAATTTCAATGTTCTTTTTTGGTATAATTTTCATACCATGAGATTTTAGAATGAAAATAAATTAACAGTTTTCTTTCGCAAAAATTCTTTTCTTTTTATTATCGGTTGCCCCATTTTTTGAAAAGAAAGAAATTATTCGTTATTCATTATTCAATCTATATCTTTTATTTGATGGTATAATTGATCTGTGATTTGCAAGATTTTTAAATACGATAATTTATTAAGAGCCGAGAAAAAATACATTCCATTAATTTAATGGTTTAAGTGTAAACAAGTCATTTTTGTTAGACATAATACTGTAATTAGCTTATTATCATAAGCGGGCCATAAATAATGAACTCTTACGTACAAGTTAAAAATATCCGGTATTAAACTTGTTGATATCGATTTATTAATTTATCCTATCCTCAAATCTGTTAAAAGAAACTTTTAATAATGATTCTTGGCGTGATAAAATAAAAACATATATATCAACAAAAATATTTATTTATTTATACTTTAATGTTTAATCGCATATTAATAAAGTAAATAAAATAATAATAATAATAATAATAATTTTCTTAATAATATATATAAATATAAATAATCCAACTATAAATAACATTAGTCAATAAATACTCCTAAACCTTTTTGTGATATGACTACAACGACCATAATTTAGTTTGACAACTTAAAATATTCTGTATTCTATCTTATCGCCTTAATCAGCTAAATTTGGTTACAATCAAAATTTTCTCAATTATTAGCAAATTATTCATTCTAACCCAATACTCGCAACTTCCGTCAATAATGCAAGCCCTTCCACTTTTGCATTTTCATCTTCTTTATTATATAAAATATTTCCTAATTTTTTCTTGGCGATGATATTATTTTTATCATAATCAATAGCCTTTCTAAAATAATATTCAGCCTGTTTTTCATCCTTTTTAATACCATCATCACTTTCGTAAAGTAAACCAAGATTATAAGCGGATTGACTATCATACAAGTCAAAAGATTTTTCATACCACCTAAAAGCAGTTTTTAACTTAATTTTAGCTAAATTATTAACTTTAAAATCACTTAGATTTTTTACTTCAGTAAGATTACCCACTTCTAAAGGCCTTTTTAAATGACTATTATGATATATTAATGCCATATTCCTCATAGCAATTCTAGATAATTCTTTTTCTTCATCATTTTTAGGTTTTTCTAGTTTATTTATAACACCTTTAAAGAAAACTTTTGCTTTCTTTGGATCAAAATCTAATTTACCAATGGAATGCATATAACCCAAACATAATTTTGCTTCAAGAGAACCTAATTTTTCAGCTTGTTTATACCAAAACTTAGCTTCATTATGATTTTCTTTTGGACCTTTCATATAATAACCAGCTAAAGCCATCTTATATTTCATATTATTATTATTTTTAGCATTTTCTTTCCATTCATTTAAATCTTTATCGTCAATTGAATAAAAATTATTACCTTTATTATTTTCACCATTATATACCCTTTTTATAAATACTTCATAAGTACCGTCACCTTTAATAGGTTCACCATCAATTAAATTTTTAATTGAATCATCTTTTATCCATTCAGGAAAATTTTTATATAATTTTCCCTTTCTATTCCTACCTTTACCTGTAATAATAAAAAGTGAAGCATTTTCAATATAAGGAACATTTTGAATTTTTGTAATAACTATATTTTTCCCTTCAACAACAGATTCTCCTTCGTGTAAATCAATTCTAGCAGTAGATAAAGTAATTTTTTTATTTAATAATTCTGAAGTATTTAAACATTCGTAATAACCTAAGAAATCATTAAACCCATTTTCCTTTTTCCTTTGCTTATCTTTTGACAACCATTTTTTTAAATCCTTAAAAAATCCACCAATAGAAGGCTTTTCTTCGGATGTGATATCCATTTTATCTATTTCTGAAATATATTTTGTACTAACAGTTTTAAATGATTGAGCATCTAAATTTAAAGTATCAAAAGATAAGATATCAGAAAAGCCAGTAGAAATCTTATCATTTTCTGAGTTTTCTAATGTATCAGTCATGATACAGAATGTTGCAAGAAAATTGATTTAAAAAAATTATAACAATTAAATAAACCTAAAACGACGAAATTTTTTTTTTTTTTTTTTTTTTAAACGAATATTCGAAATATTTTATAAAAAAAAATATATATCGTTTAAAAGTTCCCTTGATTAAAAGAAATAGTTTAATAATTCATAAAATAATTTTTTTTTAATACGAACCCAGTCATTTGAAAATTAATTTAATCAATATTTAACTTCCTTTAAAGATATTTTCAAAAACATTGCATTTTTATACCTATATGTAATATATACTTGTAATTAAAAGTTGTACCATTTTATTGTACAGAATACCAAATAATTTGATAAAAACCCAAAATTGATTTTAACGGGACCTTTTACTATAATTAAATTAGTCAAAGCACAGATATGCTCCCCACAAAGATAAAATTAAAAAAAAAGCTTTTCTATTTTCTTAATTTTTTAAACACATAGGGAAAAGAAATGAAGCAGATTAATGAAGAGAAATACCTCATAATATATCTGCGAATACAGAAGTATGTGATATAGATTTATTACGTTTCCAATAAACCAAGGTCGTCTACAATCACTTGTGGTCTAGAAAGTTTATTATACGACATCATCTGAAATAATGGCGTTTTACTAATAAACTGTAAACAATATTTAGCTAAAGGAGGATTTGGAACTATTTATAAGGCAATTTGGAAAGATGGATATATAAAATATTGGAATTCTGGAAATAATCAATGGAAAAGGAGTAAAAGATCATATATTATAAATTATAAAAGCTATCCAGTTTGTTTTAAAATGTTTACATAACTCAAACAATATTACAAAGTAAAATTGTATTTTGATAAAAAAAATCCCTTGACCATTTTCGGCATAATTGATAATCATTTTTAGCTTAACTTCTAATGAAAAAAAAAACTTAGATAATCGTAAATTCCGATAATTTTTCTTTTCTTTTAATATCAGATGATCTGATATAGATTAAAAGATCGAGATAGTTTTTGAATTATATAAATATTTTAAAGCAACCTTGCAATTGGATAAAATATTTTACAAAAAATTGTTTGATATATTAGACAATTTTAACTATGGTTTTAATTATGTTTATTCATAATACAAGCTTTTCTAACAATAATATTCTTTAATACTATACCTTTTTCAACCTAAAATTCAATAAATAAATATAATATATAACAAAAAAAAAACTTTGTCATTATTAAGTAAATGGAATTCAATAAATGAACTTATTTATAATATAACTAATACTAATCGTTAAATTAATTATGTTTAACGAAAGAAAATAGAAAAATTTTGACTGCTTATAAATAAAAATAATCATACTTAACAGAATTAAAGTTTCCTTTCATTTCAATAACATTCTTTAACATTGACATTTTATTGTTTTGTTTATTTTCTTTAATGCTTTCAAAATAATATAATAGTATTTAAACTCTTATGGTAAATCTTTTATTAATGATACAAATACGTATTCAAAATATAGTATCTTAATAACGTCATAAATCTCAAAAATACATTTAATTCAGTTAGTAGGTTTCTCTTTAGAATAATTATTATATTATTGATATACTGCAACTATCTATGGACAATGATTATAAAAAGATATCGCTATATTAATAAGAAAAGAAGTTATATCTAAAAATATTAAAAAAATTATAATTTTTTAAATAAACTAGTGAATAAACTATTTTAGTTTGCTAACTATAAAATGGGTTTTCATTCATACTACATACTACTTGGAACGTGAATAATAATACAAAGAAAAAAGGTTAGAATATTCCCTAAGCAAAAAAGCATAAAGGTACGTGAATAAGTTTTTTTTTTCCAAAGGTACTACTAATAAAAACATAAATTAAATTGAAGAAACTCTATCACTTGCAACAACATACTTTGACAATTTGACATACAGCAAAAGGCGACCATACTAATTCGTAAGTAATACATTCAAATCAAGATTTCATATATAAGGAATATTAGAAGGGTTAAATTATTTAGTAATATTAAATTGAAAATGCGACTATAAAGTTAAAAAATATATATATAGAATGTAATTTATTATTTATTATGATTTTATAACATAATCGTTATATAATACATTCTATTGATTTTCAGTTTAAATTTATAAAAAAACTTTATTTAGTATAAGATTCTAACCATAATAAATATATTCCAATAAAATATACATACTGTAGTAATAAAAAAAAAAATAGTAAATAATAGATACAAATAATGTAATTTATATTCAGAATATTTGTAAATTTTCTTCCTTTTCTTTTTCTTTAGTTGTTTTCATCTATAGGAACGAATTATTAAAGTAAATTGTTAATATTATTGGTAAAATTAATCATGTAGAAAGTATGTAAATGAGTACCTAGGTTGAGTTTAGTGAAATCTATTGCTTCTATGGATTCTAGAAAATAAAAGTTAATTGTATATTAAAAGTATTTTAAAAATATTTTTGTAAAATAAGTTGATATATTAATTACTACCTGAATATTCTCCAACATCAACTTTGTTATCAATAGCATTTTTTGATTCTGGTAGGTTTTTAAAGTTTAAAAGCCTACTTGTGTAAACTGCTTGAGGATTTGTAGTATATGAAAGAGTAAGTACCATTATATGGTAATGAAGTAGAAGTAAACTTTTCATTAATTCTTTCTGCTTCCTCAATTTGCTTGTTGGTTTCATCATCATATGAATTTCTTAATTTACGTAATAATCCACGTAATTCTTGTGCTTTAGGTCGTTTTAAAGGATCAGAATTCCAACATTGTTCAATTTTATCCAAAATTAGTTGAGGAATTTTATAATTAGATTTTGGCCTAAGCCCTTGACAAATGCTAATAGCTAAGAATTCATCATGTGCAATATCATGATAAGGAGGAAGCCCTGTACAGACTTCATATGCAATAATTCCAAATGCATAAATATCACTTTCTTGAGTATATTCTTTTCCTCTTAAAACTTCAGGCGCTACATAAGGTAATACTCCATATACTTTTTTATACTCATCTTGAGAAGATTTTAAAACATTTGCTGGTTGGGATAATCCTAAATCAGTAATATAAGTATAACCATCATTTTGTAACATATTACCACAATGAAAATCACGATGAATTAATCCTTTTTCATGAATAGAATCGAGGCCTTTTGCAATATCTACTAAAATTTCCAACTTACTTTTCCATTTCATTGAATTAAATCTATTATTTAAATGTTGTCTTAAACTACCTTCTTTTGCATAACTCATTACCATCATGAAATTATTAGATTCTGGATCTTTAGTAATGCCATAACATTGAGTTACATGTTTTGAAACAATCATAGTATGTGATCCAATCTAAAAAAGAATCCATAATAATAAATAATAGTAAGTTTAACAACAGTGATATACAGTACAAATAAGTTACCTACTTCTCTTAAAAATTCGGATGTAATATCCTGAGAATTATGTAAACATTTTAAAGCAACTGGAAAATTTTTATGGCCAATCGGATTTTTTCTTCTCTCCCATTGATTATTTTCAGAATCCCATTTTTCTATAAATCCATCTTTCCAAATTGCTTTATAAATAGTTCCAAATCCTCCTTTGGCCAAATATTCAACATTTTCAAATCTATCATATTCAATCCACTCTAAAATTTCTTTATAATATTCAGCTTTAAGTTGTGTTTTTTGAATAAATTTATCAACTTCATTATTTCCACTAGTCCAATTTTTGAAATTTTGTTGAAATTTACATTGACACCAAAAATAAGAAGCTTTAGGCTGCTTACATTCTTTGCATAAACCATTCTCTTTATACCATTTTTTTAATTCTTCATTTAATATTAGCTTGTCAATTAATAATGTTTGTTCATCTGTTAAATGGTAATAGTTACCAAAATCTTTTATTTGCTCAAATACATCATCACTAAGCATAAATTCTTCAATGTCAGCTCTATGTTTAAACAGAGTAAAAGGATTTTTTTTTTTAAAAAAAAAAGCAGCCTTATTTATTTATTACAGTTGCACGGACAAATCTTATTTTTAAACAAAAGCGTTAATCAGTTGATGATCACAAAGTCACAAGGTAAGTATTTGTACTTGCGGCCGATCATTAAAGGTGACGTATTACGTATTACGTATTACATAACAAAAATTATGCGTATATCAAAATTATGAAGCACTAATAAAAATTTTATTAATAAAATCATCATATAATACTTTTCATACACATGATCATTTAAAATATCGCTCAATTCAAAGCTCCCACCCTTGGGGAACTGTATTGAATAATTTATAAAAACTAAAATTAATAGAAAAATTGAATTTCGTGATTTGCACGGTTGGTAATATTTATAAATAAATAATAATAATAGTAAAAATTTGGAATTTTAATTAGTAGTATTAATAGTATTTTTTTTTTTCTTAAAAAAAAAAAAAAAAAAATTATAAAAGTTTCAAACACGTGACCAAACTAATCGACATCGTTCATATACTTTGTGTAACAAACATACAAAATAGATAAAACCGCGTTATTTTCATTATGAATCACATTAAAACAAGAGAACTTATTTTTATAATATAAAAAAATCATGCGCTTGCACGTGACTATTAACATATATAGATTCATTATATAATTTATTTGAATTCATAATTTATATTTGATAATTATACATAATATTATATTTGAATAAATATTAAATATAATAGTAAATATAATGACCAATTATTTGTTAATTTTTTTCATTATAATTATAATTCGTATTATAATTATGATTATAGTCGTTATAATTTTGATCATTGTTATAGACGTTACTGTAATCATTATTATTATAGTAATCATCATTATTATTATCGTTATGATTATAATCTGTAATATATAATTACGATTTTCCAAAAAAAAATGTTTTTAATTTCAATTTCTTCGACTTTGACACGATTGAACCTCTATAAACATGATTGTAAACCCATTTTTAAATGAATTATTACAAATTATTTTTAATAACCTTGATGATGATATTGGTTCTTTATTTTCATTATTATTTGTAAATTAAAATTGGTGTGAAAATGCCGTCCCCATCTTGTGGAGAAGACCATTTAGTCATAATCGTCATAATCTTGAAGAAACAATGAAAATTAAAAAAATAATTCCAATACTTCTTTCACAAATCTCATTACAAGAGAGAATTGATTTAGATCTTAAAGATATTCCAACTAAAACTATGTTTGATTATGTATTGTTTATTAAACAATTTGACATATCCTTATTATATTGGTTAGTTTGTAAAAAATATACCATGGCAATAAGCAAAACTATTTTTATGAAAACAAAAAGATTAGATGAATTAACATTCTTATATGAAGAATATGGAGATAATCATTATGAAAGTATTTTTACATTACCAAAATCACAAATGTTACTTAATCATATCACAAAGTTGAAGTTTAATTCTACTGGAAACTATTCACTTTTTCCTAATTTATCAATTTATGTTAAAAATATCAAATATCTTTCCATTAATTTTTACTGCAATAGTAATAATCATAAAAATGTTGTGAAATTTTTTGAGGATCTTATTGAATTTATTTCTGTTCAAAATAATTTGGAATATTTTATCATAAATATTAAATCTAATCTAAGTAGTATTAGACATATGGAAAAATGGAGAGGACTTTTCTTTAAACTTTCTGAATCTCATTCTATAAAGTATATAATGATTAAAGGTTGTATTGATGGAGAACAAACTGATTTGAATTTTTTATCTAATTGTTCAAATCTTGAAGAATTACATTTAGATTCTATGTTTATTGATTATGATCAATTGGTATGCTTAAAAAATATTTATCTACCAAAATTATTTTCTTTCTCATTATTAGATTGTTATTTCATTTCTCCGAAATCTAATTATAATTATCAAAAAAATTTATGGCTAATTTATATTACAGAATTTTTAATGAATCATAGTAATACTTTGAAGGAATTAAAAATAATTTTAAGGCTCGGAACTGTCAAACAAAATAATTTGAAATCAATCCTTGACGATTTATCATTATATTGTCAAAATCTTACATTGATTGGATTAAAATTGGAACATATTTTTGGTTATGTAGAATATGGAGAGAAATTTGATGAAATATTAAATGAATTCAAATCTTTCTGTAATAATTGTCCAAATCTACAAAAAATTATTTTATTTTCTTCAAATTTTCATCATTTTAATTTACCTAAAGAATTATTATTGATTTTTATAAGATCACTTCCTAAAACTTTAAAATCTCTTTCATTTAAAGGAGTAATTGAATTTGATCATTTAAAAGAAATTATAAAAAATTATATTGATAATTTAATTAATTTAGATTTCTATTATTATGCATGTGTTAATGTATTAGAAAGAGATATTGATGAAATGACAAAAAATAGAAAATTAAAACTTAGATATGATAAAAAAAGAATTAGTATTGATTCGACATCAACATATAGATATTTTTTAGATTTTAATTACCCTTGGTTAGCTAGCAATACAATGGATGGTAAAGTATTTAACTTATAATAGTGTTTCCAAAATACTTAATTGCCAATTCGCCTAAAATCAGCATTGCGTTACTAATAAAACTCTGGGATAATAGCAATAATAAAAAAAGCGTTATTTCCACCCATTTCACAAACAGAAGTATCATAAACTTTCACCTGGTTCTAATAATAAAAATATTTCAAAAAAAAGTCTTTAAAAACAACTTTGAAAGCTAAAAATTATATGTTTCTAATGTAAATAACGCAATATAGCAAAATAAAATATTGAAATTTCCTATGTTTTAAGGTGTAAATCTGACGCGCGTACATAGTAAACTCATTATTTTGTATATGAACGTATATTTTTTTTTGCAAATTCTTTTTTTTTTTCAAGTATTTTTCAGTATATCATGTCTTTTATTTATAGTTAATATGTTGTCTATGAAAATATCCTTTTTTTTGAAGATTGTGTGTTCTAGCACAAAATCGGCAAATTTAACCCCGAATTTTATTAGTAACGCAGTGCTGTTCTTAGATGAATCGGCAATTAATAAATATAATTACAATTCTTTATAACATTCTTTATTAATATTAAATTCATAATTTAACAATTTCACATCAGAAAATTTGTTTGAATCATAAAAATTGAGTATTTAATGTTGTGCTGATGAATATCATGTGAGTAGACTTGTGACCACAAATTTTCATAGTGCGCATAAATAAATATATTATTTTCCGCTTCGCTCTCGGACGATTAAAATAGCAAAATTTCAACTGAAGTTGACGCTCCCGGTTTGGCATCAGCATCATTTAGCATAACAGCTTAACAGAGAAAAATATAAAAATTAATTTAACATTTGTTATTTTAGTTTTAGATAATTATTACAGTTTAAATGAACAATAATATATTATTTATGTTGATATACTCGCTCATGACAAACCTGCATTAAGATTGTGTTACATGTGATTATTTGCATGAGTAATATGACTAATACGAGTAATATTTAATTTATGACAATCTATATATATCAAATGAGTCGAATGTCGAATTTTTACAGCTAAAAATCTTTGATTATAATTCTGTTAAACCAATCGGCATCGTCGGCATCACTAATAACAGCCAATCACAAGAGTATTCTAAGGAGCACAGATCATCTGACACAATAACTTATAATTAGAAAACACTTTTAGAAAAATGTATGTTTTATTATCATTTTATTTTTTTTATTTTTATTATACAGAAGAAACTGAAGCACAGAAGCAGTAGGAACTACATGAAAAACAAAATTTTCTAGTTATCTTAATAAAAACCTTGCGTAGAGCTATTATAAAAATTTTGACCTTTCTTGTTACCTATATATATATTGCTCGGGGTCCTATACTACTGGAAGAATTCGAGCTACTTCCTTTACAATTGCTTCACAGTAACTTAAACTATAAAAATCATCTTTAGTAATTGGTCACCTTGGGAATATACTATCAATTTCTTCTAGCACTTTCTTTTTTACATCTGGATTATGTGCAATATAATGTACAATGAATGAAACCATATTCCCAGTCTATATTTGAAAAAAAAAAATAAAGAATGTTTAAATTAAGTTAAAGCACATTGATTGCATTTATGTTAAATTTTAATGATAAAATTATATATAAAACCTAAACATAAAATTTCTCTAAAAATTTACTTACTTCTTTATAAGTTCCAATAAAAATTCCATCAAGTATATTAACACGAATTTCGGTATTACTCATAGATTTCATGTTTCAATATAATTATCGTCACGAAGTGTATTTTTGATAATCATTTATGTCAACATATCGTGCGGTAAGGGTTCATCCAGTGGTATTTCTTTCAATTTCTTATCTACCCAGTATTTGATTAATAAATTCCATGCCTTGAAGTACGTCATCTGCTTTATTTCTAAAAAATGGAACATAATGTCGTATAAAAGGAGAAATTACGAAAAATATTAAATATCCCATAAGAAGCATTCGAAGTGCTTGAAATAATTTCAAAGAATCTTTGACTCTTGTTTGATTGATGATCAGATTTTTCATCACTGAGAGTATTAAAATAAGCTGCCAATGAACAATCTAACAATAATATCATTTGTGTAATGATAAAACCATTTAGAAAAATCCAATTCTTTAATAATTTTTTCTTTAAGAAATAACTTACTCAAATAACTTTCTAATTCACTGAAAAGTTAGTTTGTCTGATCAATAGCTTCATCAGTAAATTTTGGTGACAAAATACTTATTAAAAAAATGATGGTTAAACATCCATGATTTGTAATCCTCGCTTTTCCTTCAAATCCCAATTCTTCTGGTCCTTTGAAGTTGTGAAATCTCAAACCATGCGTATTTTTTGATAAAAAATCATCAATACATTCTCCTCTACATAAAACTATAGCTCGCATATTACCATAAATCTCATATATGTTTCCATATTTCTCATAACAATAACTGTAAAACGTATTGGCATTTCCATTAAACTGCCAATAAACGTAAGGCAAATTTCTGACGAATGGGAATCCGGATAAAGGAAAAGTATCTGTAATAATAATGTGCCACACACGTCGCTAATATTGTAATTAACAATAAAACAAAATCATAAATTTCAAAATTTTGAGTAGTTTAAAAATTATCATATTGTTTCTAATTAACGATATATTAATTTTGGTTTGAAAAAAATTGTTGAAACTAATAACAATTAAAGTGATAAATTAGACTTATTTAGTAATTCGTATAACATAACATTGCAGATCATTGCCTTCAATATGCAAAAAAGGAAGGATTTTCAAAAAAATCTTCCATCCGTTTTTATAAAACAGTTAAACTGTTTTACAGTTATACTGTTATCTATTTAACTGTTTAACTGTTTAACTAATTTAGTTTTATTGTAACTGTTTAACTGTTTTACTATTAACTGTTTTACTGCCCCTTCAGTCTTTTAAGGAATAAAGAATCTTTAAATAGGTTTTTAATTTTCTGAAAAAAAAAGAAAAAAAATTTAGGATTTTTTTTTCTTTACAATTCTTTAATCAAGCTAAAAAATGATCAATACTGCGCAATATAATTTTTTAATGATGCTTTTTTTTAGTTTTAAACTAAAAAGTGCTAGATATTTAACAAAAATTGGTAAAACTCACCAAAAACTATTAAAAATAGTAAAGAAATTGCGCAATTAACCATTTCCTATACCCAGTTTGTACTTCAGGTTTAGAATGATCGGGTATTAGTCAGCTAATTAAAATGATCAACACTGTGCCACCAATTTGCCAATACCTGTTTTGTTTTTTCCCAAGACAAAAAAGTGCTAGATATTTGACAAAAATCGGTAAAACCCACCAAAAACTGTTAAAAATAGTAAATAAATTGCGCAATTAACCGTTTCCTATACCCAGTTTGTACTTCAGGTCTAGAATGATCGGGTATTAGTCAGCAAATCAAATGATCAACACTGCGCCATCAATTCCCCAAGTGTAGATACAATTGGTAAACCCTGGGAAAAGCCGTTAAAAATAGGTAAAAAATTGTGCAATTTAACCATTCTCCTTGAAAACAAATATTATTAATCAGCTAATAAAATGATTATCACGCAATATTTTTTTCAATCTGATAAAATAATTTTTTTTTATTATGATTGTTGTTTGTGATATTATTAAAGTATCTGATGATGATACCAGTAAAGGTACAGATTCTTTTATAACATTAAGCTGATAAAGTCTTTACTGCTTTATTTTTATTTGTAAAATTTAACAATATCAAGTTCTTTTATTTATTAAACTTGCTTTTTAGAAAAAGAATTATCTCCCAAAAAACAGGCAGAAAAAAGAATAACAAAAAAACCAATGGTTGTACAACTGATGTTGATAAGCCATCAAAAAGAACTCGTAGAAAGATATCTGATTTAGCTACTGAATTTCTTCAGGATAAAAGTGATATAAATTAAGTTAGTAAGTTCAGTTAGTATAAAATCATGGTTAAATATTGTCAACAATGGAAATTATTCAATAGTATAATTCGTATAATAATCTATTGTGCTTCACAAATTTATATTACTAATGTAATATTATTAATTTATATAATAAATTTATAAATAAATCACTGGATGCATTTAAAGCAGATGTAAAAGTCAAAAAAGAATATATTTGGTTAGATGAAATATCAGATAATAAATTGCATCTAATATAAAAAAATCCTAGAAAAATTTTTTTATATCTATCTATTGTATACACTGATCTATTGTTATTAAAAAATGATTTCTAAACTTTATCAGTAAGTTTCAAAGCAAAAAAATGCTTTGAGCTTTTTTGAAAAAATTAAATTAATATTTTTTTGTTGTTTATTTGAATTAATAAATACCACTTTCCTATACTAAACATATGAGTAAAAAAATTTTAATATATTTTTTTTTTATATTAACCAAATTAATTAATCAGTTATGATTAGTAAGATTATTAATATTATTATTCAATCAACCTCTACTAATTTTTAGCATAAATTTTATTTTCAGCATTAAAACTCACAGATCCAAATCAAATGTACACTAGTTTATCAATACTTATTTAAGTTCCTGTCATAAAAAGAATATTCCAATAAAATATATATACTGTAGTAGTAATAAAAAAAAATAAATAACAATTAATAGATACTAATAAAGAAATATATACTATGAAAATTGTAAATTCTCTTCCTTTTCTTTCTTTTAGTTGTTTTTATCTATCAAAATGAAATTATTGAAGTAAATTGTTAAATATTGTTAACAAAATTAAACATGATATAAAAGTTCATGTAAATGAGTACCTAGGCTGAGTTTAGTGAAATCTATTGCTTCTATGGATTCTATAGGATAAAGATAATTTTATATTAATAAGCATTTTAAGAATTTTGTGAAAATAACTAAACATGAATTACCTGAATACTTAAATAAATCATTGTCTTTGCTATCGATAGCATTTTTTGGTTCTGGAAGATTTTTAAAGTCTAAAAGTCTACTCTTGTAAACTGCTTGAGGATTTGTAGTATATGAAAGAGTAGTACCATTATATGGTAATGAAGTAGTAGTAAACTTTTCATTGATTTTATCTGCTTCTTCAATTTGCTTATTGATTTCACCACTATAATTTTGCATATTATTGTAATATAAATTATATAATGAATCATATAATTCATTTGCTTTAGGTCGTTTTGAAGGATCAGCATCCCAACATTGTTTAATTATGTCCAAAATTAGTTTAGGGATTTTATAATCAGATTTTGGCCTAAGCCCGTTACAAATGCTAATAGCTAAGATTTTATCATGAGCAATATCATGATAAGAAGGAAGCCCTGTACAGACTTCATATGCAATAATTCCGAATCCATATATATTACTTTCTTGAGTATATTCTTTTCCTATTAAAACCTCAGGTGCTACATAAGGCAATACTCCATACATTTTTTTATATTCATCTTGAGAAGGTATTACATTTGCTGGTCGACATAATCCTAAATCAGTAATATAAGTATAATTATTATTGCTATTTAATATATTACCACAATGAAAATCATGATGAATTAATCCTTGGCCATGAATATCTTTAAGGCCATTTGCAATCCTTTTTAAAATTTCTAATTTTATATCCCATTTCATTGAGTTAAAACTATTATTTAACATTTGTCTTAAACTGCCATTTTCTGCATATTCCATCACCATCATAAAATTATTAGATTCTGGATCTTTGGTAATACCATAGCAGCGATTTACAAAACCACTAACAGAAGTTATAACAATATGTAATTCAATCTAAAAATGAATTCATAAATAATAAATATTAGCTAGTTTAGCATTTATAAGAGAACAATATCTTAAAAATTACATATAAATAAGTAACTTACTTCTCTTAAAAATTCAGCTGTAATGTCCTGAGAATTATGCAAACATTTTAAAGCAACTGGAAAATTTTCATAATCTTTGGCCGGTGACCTTTTGCTTCTCATCCATTTATTATTTCCAGAATCCCAACCTTCCATATATCCATCTTTCCAAATTGCTTTATAAATAGTTCCAAATCCTCCTTTGGCAAAATATTCAATATTTTCAAATCTATCATATTCAATCCACTCTAAAATTACTTTATTTCTTTTAGCTTTGAGTTGTATTTTTTGAATAAACTTATCAACTTCATTATTTCCACTAGTCCAATTTTTGAAATTTTTTTGAAATTTACATTGACACCAATCATCAGAAACTTTAGGCTGTTTACAATCTTCGCATAGACCATTCTTCTTATAACGTTCTTTCAATTCTTGATTTAATATTAGCTTATCAATTAGCAAACTTTGTTCTTTAGTTGGGTATTCGTGGTTAAATTCTTTTATTTGCTCAAGTACATCATCACTGAGAATAAATTCTTCCATATTTGGATAATAAAAGTGTACAGCTCTATGTTTAAACTAGAGTAAAAAGGATTTTTTTTTTAAAAAAAAAAAACCACGGCATTATATAACATATTACAGTCGTACAGCAGCGATCGACAAAATCAAAAAATCAGCTGATGATCACAAAGAATTTCGTTCTTTTTATAGATTTCCAAATTCATTTTTATTCGATTGTTCAAAGAACTTCGGGTGAAACCACATTAATAATTTTTGGATTCGGCTAATTAGATCCGATCACCATAGACGGTTAAATTATAAAATTTGTATCTCTCTAGTTCCCTCCCTCGATAGTTCTAGAGCTATAAATCACGAGATGATCGACCAATCAGATTTTCCGTAGCAACTGAGCACGGATAAAATTGCGCAAAAAAATTTATTTTTTTACATTATCGAACTTTCTGCTTTAAGATTTCGGTCTTTTCATCCTTAGTTAGAAATTAGATTACCACTTCGTTTATGTTCCAGAAATTAGTAAATTATTATATAATTACTTATTATTTTAGGTAATGAAAAATCACGTGTAAATTCCGTTTCGGAATGCTGATCACCAAGAAAAAGTTTTAAAACGAACACTATTTTCTGATGCAACACTCCGCATACAGTCATATCATACATACATGAGTTAAAAAACACAATGTATATTAAATTTTGCTCGAATTGTAACGCAAATCTCTATAGTTAAAACATTATATAAGTAGCGCAGTAGATTATTAATCTTAATAAATATCGTCGAAGATTGTAAAAAATATCATTTTCACTCGGTCAACCTTTGGGGTTTCAGAAGTGGAGAAGGTGTAGATTGGCGAGCTATTACCATTCTTGTAATTTTTGTGTTAAGCATCAAGAATGTGTGCTATATTAATACAAACATCTGTTGGTACTTGGCAAAAATTAAAGACACATCAATAGTATAACAAAACTCACTCTAAACCCAAGGAGATTTTTAATAAATGGTCCCAATAAACTTTCCGCTGCCAACATGGTTTTGGAACAATTAACATAGCAACTTCTGATAAAAAATCAAAAATTAACGTCATAATATTATGATAGACAATATATTGCCCACTTTTGACCTATTAATTTCATTGAGACGAGAGTGAATACACATCCATTCAGATGAATTAACAAAAATCACGAAACATTCTTCATACCAGTTGATTGGATTCCCATGACAAAGATTTCAGCTAAATCTTTCTTTTTTTAAAAAAATGAAGCACATCATAGAAGTTATCTATCATGTATGTCCTTCAATTCTATTTTTAATGCTGTATGATCCTCACGAAACTTCAGATCATCATGGTCTCTTTGAGTGATGCCAACTTCTGCAGTTAACAGTTCACACCATAATTGCGTAACTCCATAACAACATCTAATTTAGTAGACTCATTCCCAAGTTTAACGTATTCTGCATGGATTTTACGTCTTTTTCTAGTATGCACTGCTTTAGATTCTTTCTCGATCCTAAGTATTTACAAAGTTTTAACATCTAATTGAAGAAAAAAAATCAGGTATCAGATAGTGTACCAATATGTTTGGAAACGACCGCTGTCATATTCCTCCAAAAGATCAGTTAAGATAGGAGATATAATTCTTAATATATGGTCACTTTCTCATGTTGGGAGAGACAATATATTTACTTTACGTCTGTAACACTTATGACTGTAGAAAAAAATAACAGAAGTTAAGATATTTTATTTTGTTCTGTATTAAGCGTATTAAGTGACTTACAAAAAAGAAATAATTTCGGCCGATAAATTGCCATCTTCAGATCCAATGTTTGATAGTTTATCTTTTAACTGTTTAAATTTCTCTATAATGTAAACATTATGAATTAACATTTTTTCATACCATGGTACAATAATAAATATAACAAATATAAGCATTATTACCAAACTGGTTTTGTTAATTAAATGAATTACAGTTTCATCAATTTGATCTTTTAATAATTTTTGCCAACACGTTCTGAATAATTTCGCTTTATCTTCAGTCTTCAGAATTCGTGACCACTCAAGACTTGTCCAGTTCGTCAAATCGATTATTCTTAATTCTATTGCTCTGAATTTACAAAAAGACGTTGACAATATTTGTTACTAGATTAATAATTGCACATAATCATACATGGAAAAATACTCACTGAACTTATATATTTTTTTCGCTCATACGATCCATAACCAACTTCCATATCTCTTCCAGGTCCTTAGATGTAAAAGCCTTTTAATCTGTAAGTAAAGTCATCAATAATTACTTAGAGAAACAAAGGATTGTACTAAATGAAATCAAGCAAAACTACCGGTTTCATTTGCTCTTTTCTCTAATTCTATCATAAATCCATTGATGATATCCACAGTTTGTGAGTTGGCTGTACTTGTTTCGGAAGAAATAGTTGTGGTACTTCATGGGTTCGACTGTAAATTGATATCAACTTCCTTTTCCATATCTTGATTTGACTGATATATTTGATGAGGTGGAGCAGATAATGATAGTCACTAAAAATGCTCACTATAAAATTCAAGATGACATTTATATAACAAAAGTTTATTGTTATATTCTCATTCTAACCTTTGGAAATGAGTTTCGCTTTTGTCCAATAGATACAGTGGATTGGAAAATATCTTCGTCAGGATTATTGTCACCGCCAGTGATTTTATGAGGAGGTATTTGAGTTCCATTTGCATAATAACAGGAACAGCAAAAAGTTATTGATTAAATGTCTGAATAACACTAAAAATCATTCTTATCATCTTTCGTATCATTTCTATCTAATAAGCTGGGGTTGAGAGGTTTTTAACTATCTTCATTATCGGCCTTACTTAGTAAATCACTTATTTCCAAATCATCGTATATGCGATCTTGTGATTCCTAAAAAAAAAAAAGAACGCAACTATTCGGTCTCAATTGAACATCATGATAACTGGACAATCTACTTATGATGTGAAGGCAATACCTCATCCTTCTGATGTCAGTTCTGATGTGATTTCCGATTGTCCAGATGAACTTGCTTTATCAACCTCACTATTCCAATCCTATGAAAGAATGAGATCAATACCACAATTGGGTATACTATAAGAATTACAAACATTAATTGTATCTTACAGCATAAACATCAGATTTCTGGTTCATTCGATCATTTATTCTTACGTTTTGAAAATCTTCTCGTGTATCATCTGTTATATTTACCCTTTTCTAAAATAAAGAAACTATGTTAATAAAGAATGACTCATGTGTTGCCCAATTATGCAATGAATTTCGTACTACTTACTTTTGCCCGAGACCTTCTTATATCTAGTAATGAATCCCCAATGGTTTTCAACTATTTTAGTTGCTGATGAGATCATTTGGAGGCAAGTTTGTTAGATGGTAATGGAAGAAAACTATGACCGAACATAAATAACTCATACATTCTTTTGCTCATGAATTTTACGAACATGATTAACGATATCATAATTTATATTTTTGATTGTAATAATGTCAATAAAATTTTGGTTATAAATATCTAATACTTCTTGAGATGTCGTATCAGGTTTCTCATTATGATATATAAAATTTGTAAAAAGTTCAACACGATTCCATCTCATTAAGAGTGTCTTAGGGAGAAAAATTGGCTAATCCTTGAATTTGGCTGGCAAAGGTTTGGATCAAGCGTGAAATTGACTGTTTTGCCCATCTATTGTTGCAAAAAAAGAGGTCTCTTGTTTCACTCTACAATAAATTCTGATCTGCTAAAGCAGATCATTAAAATTATGTTACGCACATATTGATTAAAACAAGTAATTGGTTAATAAACGTAATTAATACAGAAGGCTCACAATTAGATAATAGTAATTAACGATTAGATTAATGGCAATATTCCATTTGAAGCAAATTATTAATTTCATTTAGTTACTTATCAGCCTAACTCTATAAATTGATCACGAGTTGGTAAAACCATGTGACGAAATTTTATTGGGCTGTGCCGAAATATAAAAAAAAATCTGTCAAAATTAATGAAATGCCGAAATAATTTTGACATGACGAAATTTCTAAAATTGACGAGATTAATAAAATACCGAAATATTTTCGACATGGCGAAATTTCTGAAATTGAAAAATTGACAAAATGTTAAAATATTCTTGACATGACAAAATGCTAAAATGTACAAAATTATTTTCACTATGTGAAAATTTTACATCGATAAAGTAAATAATAAGTAATAGAAATGAAGAGTTAGAGATATTGAGTGCGTAAATATGATTATTATGAGTACTTTATTTTTATTAATTGAATTACAATTTGAAATTTGGAAAAATAAATATTATAAACCTATCATTTAAACTTAAGAAATGATTTACCTATCCTATGAAATCTATAACGTGTTATAAAAATGAACTGAATAATAAATTTTATGGGAAATCAGTTTTTTTGGTGTTCTGGTATTATAATATTTGATTAATGAGATATATAAATATTCCTGTACTACATTTCAATTTTGGCAATTTCGCCATTATTTTAGCATTTTATATATTAATATCACTATTTTCGACATGCATCTTTAACCATGTATCATGACAATTTAATTTGAAATAAATATACGATTTTACTTATCATTTATTCATAGAAAAAATAAAAATTAGATACAGTGAATTTAAGGAATTATAATGTAAATTATTCATATCTCTAAATCTAATAATTCATAATTAATGCCATACTATAAACTTCTAATATTTTTTTAGATTAAAATTTTACTTATTTTGCTTTAGGGGGAAATTTTGGTCCATCCTTAGGACCGGGACCTTTTGGACCATCGAAATCTTTACCCTTTGGGCCTTTTGGACCATCGAAATCTTCACCCTTTGGACCTTTTGGACCATCGAAATCTTTACCCTTTGGACCTTTTGGACCATCGAAATCACCACCCTTTGGGCCTTTTGGACCATCGAAATCTTCACCTTTTGGGCCTTTTGGGCCTTCTGCTGGATCATCTAAGTCTCTACTCTTGAGACCTTTTGGATCATCGAAATCTTTACCCTTTGGGCCTTTTGGGCCATCGAAATCTTTACCCTTGGGATCTTTTGGACCATCAAAATCTTCACCCTTTGGGCCTTTTGGACCATCAAAATCTTTGCCTTTGGGACCTTTTGGACCATCGAAATCTTTACCCTTGGGATCTTTTGGACCATCAAAATCTCCACCTTTGGGGCCATCAGGAAATTTACCAGGAGGAGGTGGAGGAATTTTTAGTTTATGTTTATCCTCATCACCTCTTTTATTAATAACACCATTTTCCATGTTTCCAATTGGTGTGGCAACGGAACTAGCAGCGAAAAGGGCTAAATTTATAGCCAAAATTAGAGTGTAAGAGAGCTTCATTTTACGAGATTTTGAGCGAAATATTTCTAAAGGGTATTGGGATAAAATATCTCTATTTTTTTTTTTTTTTAAGACAACTATTATATGTAACTTTGTTTTTTTCTTTTCAAGATATTAAGCTAACTTGAAAAAAACTGAAAGAAAAGAAGCATCATATTTATATAAAAATTCATCAATATAATCTTTAATTTAAAAATAGATAAAATTTACCAAATAATTAAAACTCGTATGTTAAAAAGTCGGAAAGCCCTTTGCATAATTTGAAATTTTGATTATAAATAAATATATAATTATTAGTGCATTCGAAATTAAGGTAAAAAATCTTTCAATGATAACCAATAAATTATCTGGATATATCCTTGGCGTATGTAATGTTTTGATTTTTTTTTTTTTTTTTTAGGAATTTTAATTGCTTGCGAACGAATAAAATAAAGAAAGAAAGATTTGTTTATTCATAATTACTCAATCATATCGCGATTGTTTTTCGCGTCAAAGTAAACGCGATTCCCCTTTTTCATTTCTTTATCTCCTTATCTTTTACTTTTACATAATTCTCTCTCTTGGCTCGTGTGTGTGAAAATTTGATATCAAATCTTTCAAATCGTATATATGATATGGTTACACGCACAAAAATCCAAAAGATCTAAAAATTTATTCCGAAGCAAGTCGCACATCTGTGTTTTGCAGATCATAAAATCTTGGCCGAATTTAACAAAGATCGCAATTAGAGCCAAGTAAAAACTTAGTATTTAGCCTCAGCCAAGAACCAAGAATTTAATAGAAGTTAGAAATTCTAGTACCGTTCGAAAATATTCAGATAGAATAAAATGATAATTGATTTAGCAACTTTTGTTTTTGTGAAACTACTATTATTTTTAAATTTAATTATTAGTATTTTCTAATTATATAATATAATAAACTTTTCTACATCTTGAAGAATCACTTTCATAATTCATAATTATTCTTTATTTTTTTTAAAAAAAATTATTTTTGTTAACGTATATTACATGTAAGGAATCATATTTCGTTTTAATTTGAACCCGTATTCCACGAAATTCATTGGCCTCATAAGAAAGACAAAAAAAAAAAAAATTCCATTCGACTAGGCCGATTACATAAATACAATCTTGGATACNAAAAAATAAGAAAAAAAAAAAAAAAAATTCCATTCGGACTAGGCCGATTACATAAATACAATCTTGGATACTTTTCAATATGTAAGGGGTTTACTCAAATTTGCTGATACATTCCTATTTTACGATAATTTTAATTATAAAAAAGAATGGTGGGCTATGAAAAATAAATGAAACGATCTACACATGCTCAGATGTTAAATTCGATTCGTACAAACTTAAAAATTTTTAGCTTTTAGTCGATAATTAAAATTATTTAGCATTACGTGCATTAATCGGCTAGATTACCGATAAGATTTTTAAACATTCATCTAAATTTGGAAACAACAATTACAAAAATAAAAAAAAAAAATTAAAATAGGATTATTCTTTTTTATTGTTACAGTATTGTTTATATTGTTACTTGGCTCTTGGCCACTCTAATCGAATAAAGTTACTAATTGTTCAATCCAAATAATCCAAATAATCTTATGATTTTTTAACACAGCGTGATGGTGATGATAAGTAAATGTTTTTTGTTTGAATCTAATAATATTAATAAAAAACTTGTTTCAATCATATATTATTATGATTAATTAAATAGGATAATATATTGTAATTATAATATGGGTGAGTAATAACAAGGGTATTAAAATATCATTTATTATAATTTTAAGAAATAATTAATGTTTATTAATCGTATTTTATCAACACTTAGTACAACTTGTGATTATAATAAAATACTTGATAATTTAAATATTTCATATCTATTAACTAAAAGGGAAAGGTCTAAAGGAAAAAAACTCTCCTGTCGATCCCTCGACAAAAATTTTTTACGAGGAGAAAAAAGACTTGGGAGAATTTAGTATATATCAGATATATAAAGTTCTTATTTTAACACGTTTCTTACGTCCAACTCGTTTGTCAAGCTGATTTCAAAAAAAATATTAGTTTTCTAAACGTGCTTAGTGTGATTATCTTAAACATTGATCAACTTATGAAACGCAAATAATCTTTTTTCTTGAAAAATTTCACATCGTAAAATCTACAAAATTAATTTCTTTTATCACTAAGCCAAGAATGAAAATTTTTTCTTAAAAACACTTTCTTATTCCAAAAAAGAACATTTTTTCTTACATCAAGAAAAAAACAATTTTTTTTATGCCTGCATGGTACAATCAGATGGGCGTACTCTGGGTGGGTCTGTGATGGTATGAAAGATGACCTCCTTGGTCAGTTGGGTTTCTACCTTAGTCTGGAATGTTTCTGGATGTTACTCACCAGAAGTGCAATCAAAAAAAAAAAAAAAAGGTTTCCATTTTATTAAACTTTTATAAATAATAAACAAATGATTCATTTCAACCCACAAAACACATTACACGCTCCCGTGACATTGATGTCATAAAACTTTGGTGATCATTTTATACTTAAATTCTCGCGTAGTTGATGACGCAGCAATCGCAATTGTACTTAAAATTTTTACATTTAAAAGCCATTTTTAACTTTTAAAAAATGATTTATATATTTTTTTTAATAGTACTAATTGGTAATAAGTGAAATTATATATTTTTTATAATACAAATAATAAAAGTCTTTAATAACTGAAGTACTGCTGAACTATATAACGTATATAATATTATGTCAAAATATTAACTTTTTTTTTTTTTAAACTAAATAAATTTATCAGGTCAATTAAAAAAAAATTTTTATATTATATTTTGATTTTGTATTGTAGAGATTAAATTTTTGATAGTTTCTTCCATAGAATTTAATTTTCCAGAAAATTCTTTTTTCATGGATATAATTTTTTCTTTCAATAATCTAGTTTCTTCATCATCATCATCATTATTTTGAATAATATTAGTTGATTTAGATGAAGATTTTGATTTTGATAATTTCTCCTTATTATCATTTTCATCAACAAACCAATATAATGATAATGGAGTTTCTTGTTCTTTATTTGGTGATGCAATAGAATCAGTTTCAGTTGAATAATAATATGAAAGATCTTGATAATGATATCCTCCTCCTTCATTATCATCATCATCGTCATTATCATCATCATCATCCCAAGGATTTTTGTCATCATCTTTTGATAAGAAATTCTCATGATTTTTTCTTGCTTTCTCAGATTTTCTTAACCATTCTTCAATATAATCAGATTTTCCGATATAATAAATATATCGAGGATTTCCTCTTTTACTTCCAAGAGGTTTTTCGATCGTTTCATAATCTTCGATCAATTCCGCTCGATATTCTAATACAGCATGTCTACCAATTTCTTTAGCATCATCATATGCACCACTAAAAATTAAATATTATATATAAGTTTATTTGAAAATATGATTAATATAAATAAGCATTATTTTTTTTTTATATATTAAAACTTACGTCATGATCGCAATCAACATATTCTGTAAAATTGTTACAAGAAGGATACTACCAATAATAGAATAAACATCTACTGGCCAAAAATTCCATTGTTCTAATTGATCCCAACGACCACTGGTCCAAAAGAAAACTGATTCAACAGATTTAATAAAATTTGTGTAATAATTATCTGATATACTGTTCACATCAATCACTTGTTCCACTTTATATGGTAATGGTTCACTTGTATTCGAATCAGTAGGTGTGATCTGAAAGGAGGAACCATCAGGTTTGATGCCTATGGATTCAGTATTATTAAGTAAAACAAACCTATTAAAAATAAATTAAATTTTATTATAAGTTTTAGTAAAAATATCGATCGTTAACGTTATTTTTTGAAATTTTTTAAAACCTTCACTTACATAGCATGACCAAATCCGAGGACAACCATAAGAATAAAAATTAAGAAAGGTATAATTTGTTTAAAAATATTGACTATAATATAAATGTAAGCTCCAGATTTTTCAAAGTATCGTAACAACTATTTTTATTAAAAAATAAAGTTAGTATCAAAATATTTGTACGATATGTATATTTAAATATTCATTTAAAAAGCTTACCAAAAAAAGTTCCAACCACATTACTAAAATCGCAAATGAATTAAAAATAGTATATATTCGAACGTCTCTTATAATTTCTTCAATTTGCTCTTGAGATTCTTCATCAAAATCGAGTACGACTTTAAAACCAATGTATAAACTTAAACTAGCTATCACTAATGGTAAAATGACTGAAAACAAATCAAAAAAATTATAAAGTCCAAAATATCTTCTCCATCCCTCATATTTTAATTGAATTCTTTCAGTATTCAATAAATAAAATCCAAACCAATAAAATAAAAAATATAGTACAAGTGCCAACCACGAAGCACTACTAATTCGTTCACTTATTCCTTTAATTGCATTGGTTATAATTGCAAAAAGAAATGCAAATACAACGTATATAAGTGCATGTCTTAAGAAATAATTTCTTGCCGCTTTCCATTTAAAATCAATTACTGCGGCCATTGACGGATTATCATAAATTTGTGCAGCATTGTCTTCTCTTATCATTCTCAAGAATGGACTCATATGATGCTTTTTTCTAAGCACATGACCACGTGGCCAAAATAANAAAAAAAAAAAAGAATTTCAGCGTTTACGCCGTTTTAGGAATTTTAAATGAATCCATTGATACAGTCTTTGGGCTCAACATATCATAATTGGGAAAAAAAAATGCTCACTATAGTGTAACAAGGAAACGCGTGACATGTCTGCGCCTGAACTATTCATTGTTTTTTAATCATTTTTTGTAGTTCGTATTTCTTTAAAAAAAAAAAAAAAAAAATGATAAGAAAAAATTTAATTATTTTCGTTTATGGTCTGTCTCATTAATTATTAATATATCAATATCTACCTTTGTTTTCCTTTAACGATTGATTTTTGTAAGAAATTACGCTCTTTTCTTTTCTTAGTGAGACCCAAATTTACGTTTAACGCATGAACATCTTTCTCATTACTTCTATCCATGTCTTTATCACGAATTTTAGATTGATCCAAGTAAACTTCACTGGCACCAAAACAAGGCTTTTGAAATAGTTCTTCAACATAAAATTCTAAATTATATTCATAAAGGATCGGAATTGCTTTAGCAACGGTAAACATCCAATTTGAAGATTCTAAAGCATTATTAGAATAATAATCTAATAAATATTTAACTATAATCGTATCTTTACGATAACCTCCTTTTGTACATACGATAGCGATTTCAAGATCAGTCTCTTTCGCGAGTTGACCACCCCAAGAATTACATCTTGGAATATGCAAATAATTATTTTTTCCATCAGATATGGAAAATAAAATATTTCTAATAATGTTTGCACAATTACCACGAATTAGATTTGCCATAATATCATAACGTATATCTAACATCCTCCATAAACCACATCTTTTAGTTAAATATTTTCTAATGATTCGTTCAGTTTGTTGAATCAATTCATCAAATTGATGTTGCCTTTTTGGATCTAAAGGTTGGTCTTTTTTCTCATTAAAAAATTCCAATGCCTCACAAGCATGTACCGAAGGATTAACTTTTTCAGGCCATTCAAGTGTAACTGTATCTCCAAGTTCAGAAAGTGAATTTATGGAAGGAATATATAATGTTAAAGAGAATTCTTTGTGACCAACTTCCAAAGATTGAATTTGCATTGGTCGATTAAAATTATTTGTCCAAATATATTCAAGAACTTTCGTAGATGATGTAGTTGACGTTCCACTTTTTCTTTTACGCCATACTTGAACAGTGGATCCACCAATAAATAATTGAATAGATTTATTATCATCAAGATAAACCGAAGTACATTCATAATTTTTATTTAATATCCAAGGTTCAGGATTCCTAATAATTCTATTTTCGAATTTAGAACCTAAATATTTTCCATAAGAATCGTAAATTGAATGATAATTCATGGTAGTATTAGTTGTTACAGCAGTTGATGAGGAAGAATTGGACTTTTTGTTAAGTTGAATATTATTGTTAAGTTGAATAACATTTCTTGTATTATAATTTATAGGATCTAATAATTTAATTATTTCAGAATCTTGTAATAAAGAAATAATATTCCCATCATCATTAATTGTAATAAGATTTCCTGAAGAATTAGCTAACCTTTGATGATGCTCACATTTTTTAGGAAATAATGAAAAAGTATCATTTATCCTTCTAATACAATTATCGGAACTACTAAATAAATCCCAAACTACAATATTAAGAGTTTTAACTAATTCTGAAGTTTCTTCATTATAACTTTCTTTTTCAATAACGATCAATAATTTTTCATCATTCTTTACGAAATCAAAAAAAAGTATTTGAATATTTGTTTCATTAAATTTTTTTGTAGTAACTTCCAAACCATTCTCCATTAAATAAATGGTAATACTATTTGCACCACGACAATAAGCGAATAAAGATTCATTATTTGATATAGCATAACAAGAATAACCTCTTCCTGAAATTGAAGCAGCAGTTTCCTCAGATTTTTGAAAAGTATTTTCTAATAAACTTGTTTTTAAATTATACATTTCAACAGTTTGTCTTTTATTTTTATAACTTTCTACTAAAAAACGACCTTTTACTAAATTTTGTTGAATAGAAAAACTAGAAATCTCATTATTTAATAATTTACTTGGTAAATTAAAATTTTCAACGGATTTATCAGAGAAGAGACCAAACCAACCTTGAACATAATTTTCATTTATCATAGAATTGATTTTATCATGATGAATAGAAAATCTTGAAATTCCATAAGAATTTATAAGAGCTAAATCTGTCTTTTCAGAAACCGAACTATCATCATCTAAGAATTTAATTATACCGCCCATATCATTAATTGAAGATGAAATTCTCGCTTGTTTAGCAGAAGAAATAACCCAAGTATGTTTAATAGTTGAATCAGCATTATTAACATCATCATCAAAACAAGAGACGGCAATTAACACATCAGTTGTTTTATCAGGTAAAGTAATTTCATTAGATACGGCTAAACTCCAAATTACAGCAGGAGTATCAAAATTTTTAAAACTATTATAATTCAAATTATATAATTTTGATATATTATCGGATTGACATAATTTTAATTGATAAGCTGTGGTGCTTAATGTTACTATCTGAGTACCATCTGGACTTATAGCTATATATTGATGACCATTATAAATATTCCTTTTGTTACTATACTTTGATTCAAAAGAAGCAATTGACCTAATCTCTGCTTTTTCTTCGTCACTATATAAATGCGATGGTGTTTGATTAGTTTTCTTGAATGCAAGCATGATTATTATATTTTTCTTTTATACGTTATATATTTTATATGTGCTCAAAAAAAGACTTTTTATTAATCCTTTCAAAGGATTAATTAAAAAGGTAAATGAAAGGAATTTTTTTTAAAAAAAAAGAAAAAAAAGAAAAAAATTTTTATATATTTTTTGGTTTTATTTTTTTATAATAATTTTTTTATTTATAATAATTATTTGATAAAGAATTTTGTTTGATAAAAAATTTGTGCAATTATCGCGCTCATGACAATTTATATGTAACTGTAACCTTATTTTACATAATCATGTATGATAATATGAAATATCGTTCTATATTTAACAATATATATTCGGATTTTTTTTTAGCCATGTACAGATGTACTATATTTAATTACGCCTCACAGTATTTATTTGGTATTTGACTTTAATATATAGCAACCATTAAATGTTGTACAATTCACTAAGAATGTTTGTTTATTCATGTGTACGACAAACAATTTTCCTTTATTGTCTGCATTACTAGTACTTAAATTATTCAATGGAAAAGCAGTTATAATAGCGGATATAACCGCCATTTTTTTTTTCTTCTCGTAATCTTTATTATTAAAACTTTCGAGCAGGGGTTTACCACTTTACCGATAGATTACGACGAATTTATTTATGGAAAAGTATAGGTCATAATTTCATACATGTAATGCAAAATGTGATCGAAAATGGTAACGATGTTCCTTAAAAATTTAACAACCAACGGTACTGATCGATTTGTTTGTATTACACATTTACATTTAGAGTTTAAATTATTATGATCTTTTCGGAGTTTCGAAGTTATCTGATTATTGTTTACTGTTTTAACTTTGAAACAATATCAACAATTTACCCTAAATAAAAATTTAAAAATCAATAAGTTCGAAAAAGTATAAGTTCTTTTTCCTTCTTTTTTTTTTTGGAGAAAAAAAAAAATTGTTTGTCTTAAATATTCGTTATATAATTTCTTTAACAATGATAATTAAAATATCTTCATTATTAAAATAATTACCATAAAAAAAGGTATTTAATGACTAATTATGATTTAATGATTTAATGGTGCATCCCTTTTGATTTTCAAGATAGACAAGTTAAACATATTAATCAGAAAGAAACGTTTTTGAATGCTTTTAAATTTATTAATATCGTACAAAAAAAAAAATCGTACAGCTTATTTTTTTTCTTGGCAAATATAATATGGTGCCGATCGCTAACTGTTAATGGATCACGTCATTGAAGCTTAACTATATTTGATTATCTGATACAAATAAACAATCCTTTATACAAATTCCAGGTTTTGGTAAAAACTAACTATTATAAGTAATTTATTAAAAATATAACTTGTATGACAAATTGTTTAAATATTGTATATTATATTCCGTAAATAGTCATTTCTTGAAATATTAATAAAAAGTTTATAAAAGTCGAAAGTTTTGTGTTACGCAAAAAACATATTTGAGATCGAAACGATATCTCTTCGATAAAAAAAGACACCTATAAATTCACTCAATCACTCACTCTGTATAAGAAAAAATCATATAAATTAAATCAATTTATTTTTTATTAAATCAGCTGCAGGTTTAAAAAATCTTTATCAGAATTAAAATAAATTTTTTTTGGCACGGTAATTTCTATATAACCAAAAAAATACCGATTACCGATTTTGTGTTTTATTTAAAAAGTTGATTTATTTTGACGCAGTAAAATCGTTACGGTCTTCCTATATCTTGATTATGTTAATCATATTTTTGACTCACTTTCTCCGTTAAAAAAAAAAAAATAATAATTATAATAATAATAATCTAGATTAGAGGTCTACATTGACCCCTATTAATTAACCTAACCCGGATTATTATTAAATCAGCCAACTTAATTTTGGCCAGTTTAATTTCGGCCGGAATTAAGCCGATTTTGGCCAGAATTACGAAAATCCGGTTTAACGAAAAATCATGTGCCGGCCCGGATGAATTTATAAACCCGGATCCGGGTCCGGGCCGGGTTAGGGTTTCCGGGCTCCGGGTCCCGTTTGCAGACCTCTAATTTAGATATAAGATAAATATATTATTATTGTTTGAAAGTGAAAATAAAATTATGTGAATAAAAATCAAGAGTATTTTTTGATTTCTTTAATTTTTTCAAACTTAATTGTAAAGTCTTCTTTAATAAAAAAGTAGAATTAATGTTGGACTTGAAGTCATTATCTATATTCTATATTTGCCAGATGAATTTCTATTACAGGTTATTATCCGGTGACCAAATATTACTCCGCAACTTTACGATGAAACATACAGATAGGGATGGAATCAATTAAAATGAGTCGACTCGAATTGATTCTGAAACCGATCCTAATTCTGGATCTCCCAGGTTTAAAGCTACTTTTAACCATAAAAACTGTTCTGAGTCAAAACAGACTTGCATCCCTTACCCAACATATTCAGTTTATATGATTGAAATTTAAAAAAAAAAAGTTATGATAGAAGGATGTTTGACTGTGTGGTTCTATATTATGGTATCAGTGATTTCGATATTTAACAGAATGTTATTAGTTAGGTTGTTAGACAAATTTATCAGGGTTGAGAATTTGATATTAATAAAATTTGTTAGAAGTTGGACAGAGACATCTTGCCATCTTTTATCAGGAAATTACAATTTAAATTAAGTGAAAGTTAAAATGTTCTAATCTAGAAAAAAACTTTTATAAAGTTATTTTATCCGAAGGTTTGAGAGAATAATATTGTAATTTGACGTATAATGGTGATTGACGATAATACTAGAGCAAAAAAATGACTATGTTACCGTGTTCTGACTATTTTGAGTATTATTGTTTTCTCTTTATATACAATAATAACTTAAAACTCCTAAATTTTTTTTAAAAGGTCCCTTTCATGAAGCTTTAGCAATTAAATTGCACGAGATACTTTCATTATCTTCTCACGTGAATGCCACCTAATAAAATTTTTAGTTTTATCACGTCCATCTTTTTTTTTTTCAACAATCAGGGTATACTATATATTCAAAAAGATGTACATATACCTCATAACTCAAAAAAATATAATTTACAAATTATCTATGAGAATTTTCGGAAATTGATTTTTGCAGATCAAATGAGTTACCATTCCGATGAATGAATTTTTCCATAGAATTTTATTTATTTATCTATTTTATTAATAAATCATTGTAAAATGGTAAAAATTTATAAATTTAGTACTACGAGATTTACAAGGGCATACTTAAATAAGTTAAATATACTATTTCATTGAAAATCATAACTTACCGACAGTCATTTCACAGAAAATCATTTCATTTCACCGACAGGGTTATTTCATCGAAAATCATCTCACCGAAAATCATTTAATTTCACCGACAGAATCATTTCATTTCACTGACAGGGCTGTTTCACCGAAAATCATTTCACTGAATTTTAATTTTTTACTGTAATTTGATAACCGATAACGGCCACAATTATTTAATTTAATATTTAATAGTTTTTATTGTGAAATAACATAGTCACAATTATTAGTGAATTATTTATTGTAATAGAATTTTATTAATATACACATAAAAGAAATGTTATGTAATTTGAATATAATAAAATGTTGATTTTTTTATTTCATTGCGGCGGATTTATGAAATGTGGCAAAAAACCTGCTGCGCCTCGGGAATTAAAATTGACTTACAGAAACATTAAGCTTTTTTCCTAAAAAAAAGTCAAATAATGACGCACCTTTAACACTGGAAAAATTGGTTAAGTAACGGAAAAATTGGTTAAACGCAAGATTTGGGGTATAAAAAAAATTTTTTAGAGCTCATTTTTGACTGTTCACTAATAAATTTGGGACTTAAATAAAAATTTGGTGACTAAAAGACTGTCAAATATTTATTTAATTTGACACGACGGACAAATTTTGAGGTATTTCATAAATCCGCCATGATGTATTGTTTGAATCGTTTTTTACCACTCATAAATAAAATGAGATGACAAAATTCTTTAATAAAGAAGACCATTATTAGACTTTCTTCGAGGAATAGCTCAATATTCATTTTTAATTAATTTATATACTTTATTCATTTTATGTGTAAGTTTTTATTTGTCTTCATTTATGCTATGGAATTTCTAATATATATGTAGGTATTTTAATTATATAAGCATTAAATATAGTAATATTATGAAATTATATGTTAAATATAGAAAACGGATTTTACAATAAAAATTGTTTTATAATGATTTATTTTTTTTTATTAATGCTAGTACGTTTAAGTTCTTTTTCTTGAAACAGCTTAACCTTAAAGCGGCTGTTTGAGCAAATTAAATTTCCTACTTTTATGTTATAGAAAAAGAATTTTGATGCATCAAGTAATTTACAATAAAAATTTTTTCATTAATTAATATTATGAGAATTATGTATTTTATTATATATCATGCAAATATATATAATAAATTTTATGGAATTAACAAGAGGTTATTGTAAAAAATTAAAAACAAATTTTTAATATAGAACGTGTGCACATTATCTTGTTATACTCGACTTTTATGAGGTCATTTAATAATTTGAATACATTTATTAAAATTATTTAAATTACAAACTAAGAATTTTGTAAAACACTTACTACTCCATCTAGTCTTAGTGTTTATATAATCCAAGATAAAATAAATAAATGATAATAATTTAAAATATAAAAAAAAAACATTGTTAAATGATTATTCAAAATCCATCTAAAAATAAATTGGTAAAATAAATAAGATTTTTTTTTTTAAAAACAAACTAATTAATTAAGAACTTACCATCAGGAATTCTCAGTTCATCTTGTTAAAATTGTGAATTTTGATTAAAATCTTTAAAATATTTTTAATTAAGGGGTTTATTTTTTATCGCCATAGCGAGATAATAGAAAATAATAAATATAGTAAAATACGCGTTGCGCCAGGGACGATAAAGTAAGTGAGTAATAATAAATACACTTATATTTTATTTGCCATGCAGTGCAAATAGGGCTAGTTTTTTACTATTATTATGATGGGATTAGTAGGAAATAAATGTAATAAATTACAATTTATATGATTATACAAATAACAATGAATTGTGTGCAAGTGCTATACAGTACATGAAATATTATTATTAAACGCAAAGTTTATTTATCACACGAAATAAATGTTGCGGCACTGTGAAATTTATGATTTATTTATATACTTACAAATTCATTACAAAAACAATTTTGTATAAGTAGTTTATTGTTACATTGTTACAAAAAATAAATAAATAAGTAAATTATATGTCAGTCTATTATTGAGCCTAAAAAATAATTAGGGAAAATAATAATAATAAAAATAATAATAATAATAATAATAATAATCGGGAAACGGCGTCAACCCAAATCTAAATGGTTTAAAAATGTGGTTCGGGAAAAAAAAATTCGATTTGAAAAAAAAAGAAAAGGTGAAAAAATTTTTTTCTGATTGGGAAAAAAGTCAAAAGCCAACCCAAAAAAAGAAAAGCGAAAAAAGAATTCGAAAAAAACTGAAAAAAAAAATAAAATTTGAAAAAAAAAATGAAAAATAAAATTTGGGAGAAAAAGAAAAAGGATAAAAGGATAAAGAAAGAAATCGGTTTAAAAAAAGGGAAATTTTCGAAAAAAAAGGAATCCGTAAAAAAAAATAAGTACCGAAAAAAATTCCGAAAAAAAGGACAATAATCCGGTCCAAAAAGACTGAATAAAAAAAATTAATAATATGGTCTAAAAAAAAAGACCGAAAAAAAAATAATAATATAAAAATCGGTCTTAAAAGACCAAAAAAATAGGATTATTAAATAAAAAATAAAAAATTTTCAGTTTGGGAAAAAAAAAACCAAAAGGAAAGAGGAAAAAAAGAGAATTTTAAAAAAAAGGGAAAAGAAAAGAAAAAGGTGGTTCGAAAGAGAAAAGAGGAAATTTAAAAAAAAAGAAAGAACCGAAAGTAAAAGATCGATTCAAGAAAATTAAAAAAAAAAGGGAACTGAAAGAATTCAAATCGGTTCAAAAGAAAAGGGTTTAAAAAAAAATGATGAAAATAAATATTTGAAAAAAAACCGGAATTGGATTGGATATACAACATGACTTGCTGATCAAGCGGGTCTTAGCTATAAAGAATATATGGATCAGCAAATTCAAAATTAATTTATACAGGCTAATCTAAACGTTACGGTTACACACTGTATTTTTTTTTGTTATATAGATAAATACATGATAGTTTAAAGTGTAAGTTCGCCTATTAATGCTTGGAATTCTATTGGGTCATAAATAGGTCCAAGTAATTGGTCATTGAGATCATCAAAAGAAGCATAATTACTATATAAAAGACCCAAATTCACATTTGGATCATAATTCGTCATAAGAGGACCTCCGCTTGCACCCTCTCCTAAATTTAAGTCATGTACGATATAAAAATCATCTTCCAATATTGTTACTCCTTGCCACATACAAAGAGTCCGTCCATTATTTGGACAATTTGGAAGATTACCTCCATCCGGATAACCTTGAATAGTTGTTGGAACATTGTTTCCTGGTTGGAATATCCAACCGAGAGCTCCCGTAAAATATTTTAATGGAAGACCTTGCATGTTAAAATTAAATAACATCATGCCCCAATCAAATTCATCATCATTATGATTAAGAAATTCATTTGTTACTACCATCTTGGCGATAGGAATTTTACCAAGTGGACCAGGTTGTCCATTGTCATATCCAGGAGAAAACATTACATTATCAAAATATGATTGAGTATTATGATCATAAAGACAATGCGCTGCAGTAACTCCAATATTTCCATCATCAGTATTGATTACACTAGCGGTACAAACAAAATCTTCACCATTCTTGCTCATAAATAACTTTCCAACGGCAATAGCTTTAACTTGATCCGCAGTTGCTGCCCCAGTTTTTGCATCATATTTTCTCTCCAAAGGTTGCATAGATTTCGTGTCTTTAGAGGAGTCAGTTGTTTTTTTAATAGTTTCGACACCACTTCTTGTTCTAAATCCAATATTTTTAGTTGTTAAGGGTTTAGCTTTTTTCATTTTTTCTGATGTCCAATAATTCTCATCATATTTAGAAATCGTTGGAATTGAATGACTTGAATCGATTTTGAAGATTAGCACAACCAATGCAGTCAAGAAATAAAATATAATTTTTTTGTTCATTTTTTTTTTAATAAAAGTTAATTAGATAAAAAATAAATATTGTAAATAAATAAATAAGAAATATTGGAGGATTGGTTTTGAAAAGTGAAGATAATTTTTCAATTTTTGAGGCTTTTTATCTTAAAAAATATTTGACGATCATCTTTGAAAAGATTCATTCTATTTATGAAATGTTCATATTAAATCGGCCGGATTATAATTAACAATAATAATGTAATAGCGGGGGTGGCTTGTATTAATAAATTGTGTAATCGTAGCAAAAATATTTCGTTCTATTATAGTCTAAGTAAATTGGTAGAACATTATTTTGTTCTTTTTTGTTATAGAATACTTATTATTTATTTATTTTTTTGTCAAGCAGGAAATTGCTTACTGAGACTATTGCAATTCAAAGGAAAAGAAAGAAGCACTATAACAGGAAATTACCACCCAAAGACGATTTAAAATCGAAATCAGGCCCTTACTTGTGCTTAAAGCGTTAGTAAGTATTCTATAAAGGGTTCAATTAGGTTCGTCTTAAGATTCTTTTTAAATGGATCGTTGTATCACGTGCTATGAAATTCTAAATAAAGCAATGATCTACAAATGATCGATTTACAGTTGGCAAGCTTGACATAAATAAATAAAAAAATAAATAAGATCTACAAATGATCGATATTAATAACGGGGGTGGCTTGAAATGGAAATCGTAAAAAGCTAGGCACATGTAACTCGCTGATGAATAATTTAAAATCCTAGCTTTATCCAGCGGGAAAATGAGACTATTGTAGATTTGTCAAGAGAATAATTGCGGGGTAATGTGTGTCGAATTTCCAGATTAGTCACTCTCTTAAAGCATAGCTTCTGCAGGAGAAAAGCCATCTATTTTAGGAAAAAATTTTCTGGAATATTAGAAAGCCTTCACCCCGAAAAAAATTATTTATGAGGGAGTTAATAAAATAATATATTTGTCCCACAATAATGCATGTATTGTCTGCAACATAAATTAAGATCCCATTAAGTGTATATGATGTAATAAGTGATACTCCGCAAATCTTCTCCCTGTAAAAAAGTCGATCCGTTTTTTTATGTTCCATCTTTTTTCCGTAAAAGGCTCATATTTCCGGAATTAATTACCTTATATCACGGAATTTATTGAATTATTTACATTTTCCGTGTGAAAAGATAAAATTTTTTATAGGGTCCGCGAAATTGTGCTTGTGCGACGAAATATACGAAATAATTTCACAGAATCCCGCTACAACACAAACCCGACGCTCACCGACAAATCATAATCCCGAAACTTCAGAATCCCGTAACCACATTATTCCCGACATTCATTATCCCGACACTTCTGATTCCTGATATGATATTTTTTTTTATTTTTTTTTTATAGACGTAATATTATTGTAATATTTTATAATAAATATGTAATAATTTTTAAAATATCGCAAAATTAAAATTTCTATTGTAAAAATTAATAATTTTTTTTAATATTGCAAAAATAAATGTTATTATTATTATTTTTTTATTAATATTTAATAATACATCACAAAAATTAAGTAACAATTAATGTTTTTATTAATCTGTAACGATACTTCGCAAATATGATTTTACAAAATCACTGCGCAAATATTAATGTTTTATTGTAAAATTAATATTTTTTTATTAATATTTTAATGAATTTAATAATACATCGCAAAAATTAAGAATCACTTCGCAAATATTAATGATTTATCGTAAAAATGCAAATCATAAATTTTTGTAAATTTTATTTATTTTGATTGATTTTTTTTTAAAAAAAAAAGATCTTTCTTTTAATTCAATAAAAATTTAAATTATTGCGTCATAAAGATATAATAATTTTTTTATTTTTTTAATATACTGATTAAAGATTTTAATAAATCATTTTTTAGAATTTCTATATTATGTCATTATATTTCAATTGCTAAGAGGATAGTTTCGGGATAATGAATGTCGGGAATAATGTGGTTACGGGATTCTGAAGTTTCTGGATTATGATTTGTCGGGATTTCGTAGTAAATCCAAATTTCTATAAACTTAATAAAAAAATGATATTCCCCATTAGTATTTAATGTAAAACCCACAACTTGAAAAGTATAAAAAAGGTTTCATTTACGTAAAATGGTAAAATGAAACAATAAACGCATATTATTAATTCTTTTAAGTAACATTTGAAGAAATAGTATTATTAGTAAAAATTGTGTGAAGGTTGTATTTTAAAAGCATATTAGTATAAATATTCCGTTCTATTATTAAGAGTATTTTTAAAATTTAATTTATAAAGAATTTGTATTATTTCTTATAATAAGGAAATAAAAGTTAAATTCTCGTAAAAATGTTAATCGCTACCATTTTCGGCGAAATGTCCATTTGGCGAAATGGACGATTCGATAAAATGGATTCGATAAAATACGCTTTCGGCGAAACTTCCCTTCGGTGAATATCCCTTCGGTGCGAAATGGATTTCTGTGAAATGAATTTCGGTGAAATATCTGTAACAAATAATAATATATCTATACATACTGTATATAAGTTAATAAAAATAGTAAATAAAAAACATTAAAAAAATTCAGTTTTAAATAAATATCAGTTTCAAAAAAACCGAAAAAAAATATTACCATTGAAAAAAAAATTCAGCCTAAAAAAAAAACTTTGGTCTAAAAAGAAACCAAAAAAAAAAATAAATAAATATAAAAAAATAATATTAATATTTTGACTTTTTATTTTGCTGAATATTATTTCTTTTTCCTATCAAAAATTTTTTTTAATAATAAGTTAATATCTTATAATCTTAAAAAAACATATTTTAGACAAAAAACAATGTTAAAATCTAACATAGGCAATTATCTTAATAATATGAATTTTATTGTAGAATAGGATTTTTTCAAAATTTCACACCAAATAGCAAATTAAATTAAACGAATTATTTAAGACGTTCAATGTATTAAAAGTCCGCCCGATTATTATGAAATAAGAATATAACTACGTTATTTCACTATTAAATTCACATTAACCTAAAACGAAATTTTACAATTCAAATTTATTAATTAAACTTTTACGTTCAACTGAAACTTTAAATATTGAGTTAAGTTTTTCAATTAATCATTTATTTTGCGTTCAAATTTATTGTTAGATATAGAAAATTGTAAAAAAAAATTGTTTTGAAATTTAGATTCTAAAATTTGTAAAAGATATTTTTAATTACCCATAAATCCATATTTTTATTGAGACTCGCGAGATCGATCCTAAAAAAAAAGAAACATTAAAAGTGCTCTTGTTCATCAAGTAAAGAAATTAAGTTTTCTTTGAATACATTTAGAAGTTTGCATAAAATATCATGTTGCCGAATTTTTTTTCAATTTCAGCCGTATTTTGGCTTCAAAGAAGCTGCTTGTATGTAGATCTTGGAATAAATTTATTTAAGCCTCGAATAATTTGTGCCAGATCTGCAGCAATTTTTAGCAGACTTCGTAAAGTTTCGGGCAAAGCCGAAATAATCTCGGTCAGGCTTTTCTCTTTTTTATTGTAAAGTACGAGAAGAAATTTACGATTATCGAATTGAGTAGAATTTAAAGTTTCGGCTATATATTAAATACAGGTTGCCGAAATTTTAGAGGCTGCCGAAATTTTACAAGCGAAACTCCTTAAAAAATCTTGCTTAATATGTTCGTCAGATCTTGATCAACCTATTCGAAGCCTTAGATCTATGAATTTAGTTGACTTTGCGGCTGAAATAGCCAAAATTCGGCATGTATATTGTAAAATATGCAATTCCTTTATTTCCTTGACTGATATCATTACTCAAGAAAGAATAAACTGGCGAGTCGCTTTAGACAAGCAGTCAAGCGTTTTTTCTCCCAGCTTATTCATAAATTGAACAACGATGCCAATATAACAAATCTATTTTGCTAAGAATAAATAAACTGGCAGTTCGCTTTAGACAAGCAGTCAAGCTTTTTTTCTCCCAGCTTATTCGTAACTTAAGCAAATAAAAATGTTATCTCTTTTTTGACTGTTTAAAGAAGGTACATAATGGCTCCTCCTCTAGAACCGTAGACTTTAAACAGGGAAATTTTTTTTAAAAAAAAAGTGCATAAAAGAGGAAACACTTTGGTCTCGCTCATTAACCAAAACGCACCTTCCAGTTGCAAATTATTTCCTTCGCCTTATTCTTTTATTCTTGCTTGTATATAATTTTGTCTTTGGCAAGAGTTTGTACCTGAAGAAAAGAAAGTGAAGACTGAAGAAATGAAGGTTGAAGGTTATAAGATACCGTATTATATAGCTATTATTGTTTACATAGACGCGTATGGCGCGTATTCCGTTATCTGCTTATGAAATGATTAATCAAATTGTTATAATTATGTCATTAATATTATCAAGTTACATAAGTTCAGATATAGAACTCTATTTGACTAATGTGGCTAATGATCGTGACTATATTAGCTAATATGCTTTAATAGTATATTATAAGTTTAAATTAATACTATAATTTAGTATTAATTTATAATTCTTAAAAATTTTTTGCAACAATGTAACAAAATTTGAGATACGTGAAAATTGATAAGCTTGATCATTCGTTTGATCAAATTATTAAGTGAAATCAGTTATTTAAAGTAACTAAACCATAATATGGATTAATTTTCTATTTCTTCGATTTAACCGATTTTGCAAATCGATTCAAGTCTTTGGAAATTGTAATGCATCAAGTAGTTCCGACTAGCACTAGAAATTTACAGATTAATAGTTTTTAATTTCAGTTAATTCTGGTTTGTGTTTAATATATATTTCACTCATTAGAAAAATTTTTAAACGAAAATAATGACACTTCTCACTACTCTTTTTTACTCCCTTTCATTTTCTATTACTTTCCATTACTCCATTGTTATTTTATTTTTTTATTAGTATCTTTCTCCTTGATCATTGTAATTTACTTATCTTTTTATTTATTTTTATTGTTTCTTTTATTTGTATCACTTCATTAAAAATACAGTGAT